GGAGAGGGTGTCGCAGACGGGAGATAGGGCTGGGACAGGGCTGTCTGCACCGGCCTGCTCTGCCTCCCTCATTCACACCTCCTCAGAGGCCCCTCAGCCCACTTATCCCCTGCAGCCTCCCGCTCCCAGCAGCCACCCCGGCCGCCTCTCTCTGGCCGGGACACCGCACCGGGAGGATGCCCGCAGGCTGTCCGGCCTGACCCTCCCTGCACGGGGAGCCATGTCCCAGGGAAGGAGCCGCCGCTCACTGAGCAGCATCCTGCAAGCACGCCAGGAGCGGGCGAGGCTTGCACCCGGGCCCAGAGCATGGAGGAGTCTGAGCCTCAGCCCGGGGGCCCCTGAGGCAGGGTCCCAGGGCCACAGGGGAACAAGGGGCATGTTTATCCCGGGAAGCACCAGTCTCTTCAAATGCCAGCCTCCTGTAGGGAGAGGGCACAAATGCGTCATACTGTCCTGGAGTCCGTGCCAGCAGGGGCAAGCCTGGCAGCGGGTGGCCACCCTGGATAACGGCAATGGGTGGCCAGGGGTTCAAGGCTCCCTGTGAGGCGGTGGTTAGGGGCGCAGAGGTGAGAGGGGCATGTCCATCAGGAGGCCGCGGGGCAGTCGGGCCCATCCTGGGTGGTGATAGGGACCAAAGCATTTGTCACGTCTGGTGGCCGAGGAGGCGGGAGACCCTTGGGCCCAGCTGAACCAACGCCTCAGAGCTGCTGGGAGGCTTGGCCCCTGCCTGCAGCCTCAGAGGGCCTTCCGGTGGGAAGGAGCCCTGGCAGCACCAGAGGCAGGACATGCATCTCCTGCTGGTGGGGCCTGGGGGAGGGAAGGAGGGAGAGGACGAGTAATTCCAACCTCCTGGTTGGGGGCAGGGCGAGGGCAGGGCTCCACACCTGCACACAGCTGGGAGACCTAATTCTGTCTCTCCCTCCGGGACCAAACACACAAGCCCCTCCCTGCTCTGCACACTCGGCTGCCTCCTTGCTCCCATCTTCCCGCCAGGGCAGGGCAGGGCGGGCCACTCAGACTCCATGAAGGGCCTGGGAAAGGGCCCAGGGAACTCACGCCCTCCCCCTCCGAATGCAATGCTCAGGGGTTATCCCTGCGCCCCTCTGCTGACACCTGCCTGCCTACAAGCCCATAGCCAGTGCCCAGGTGGGAAACATAGACACCAGTGCACTGCTTTCCTTCCTCCTGAGCTGCCTCCCCCACAGCCCTTCTCACTCTGTCCCGGCTGCCAGCTGGTGCCTGCAGCCCTCCCCTTCCCGGGTCCTCTGAGCACAGTGGGGCCCAAGCAGGTTAAGCTCTGTTTCTGGCTTGCTGCTAATTCCCAAACATTTTGTGAGCAGGCACTGTTTGCAGAGCCCTCTGGAGGCCAGAAAGGCGTCCACTCCATTATTCGCCGGCCTCCAGGAGTTAGCAGGGCCTGGCAGGGCTAAGACGAGTAAATGCACGCATGATGGAGTTACAAAGCAAACTAAAATAGCCAACCACCTTGCGGTGTGGAGGGCCAGCGTCAGCATGGGCGTCGGAAAACCTTCCTGGGGTTTCCTCATTGTGAGTCGGGGGAACAAGCAGCTGCCCGAGTGGGAGACTGAGTAAACTTCAATGGCCCAAGGTTGGCAGCAACACACGGTACGGTCCTGGGACTGGGGACAGACAGAATTGCTTCCACCTGGTCCAGAGCTTAATCCCATACCAAGGCCTGGCTCTGTCCCACCCTACAGGACAAGGTGACCTCCATCAGCCTGCCTTAGTCCACGCGAGCTGCTATAACAAAATGCCATGCACAGGGTGGCTTATGAACAGAAATGTCTTTCTCTCTGCTCTGGATGTGGAGAAGCTAAAATCAAAGTGCTAGCAGATTTGGTGTCTGGTGAGGACCTGCTTTCCGGTTCCACTGTCCTCCCGCCGTGTCCCCCCACACGATGGAAGGGGCGAAGGAGCTCCCTGGGCATCTGCTTTATAAGAGCACTAATCCCATTCAGGGAGGGCAGACTAATCACCTCCTAAAGGCTCCACCTCCCAGTACCATCGTATTGGGGGTTAGGTTTCAACATACAAATTTTGGGGGGACACATGGTCTATGATAATCATTCCCAAGAATCCTATGTAATAAAAGCCTAATATGCAAATTATCCCCACAGGCAGGAGTTTGATCGACCGGGAGTTCGATGTGTGCTGACCACCAGGGGGCAATGTGGAACATGGTAGGTGTCAGCGATGCGGGACTGGCAGCAGGCTGCAGTGGAGGCACTGCCGGCCCTGATGGGCCCCAATGAGAGCAGGACTGTGGTGGGATGTTGGAGCAGTTGAGCGGGCAGCACCAGGCCAAGGCGGGTGTGAGTGGGGGCCCCAATCACCCCACCGGTCACCTCCCAGATCGGCTCTGATCACCAGCCAGCCCTAGGGACCCTACCCATGCATGAATTTCGTGCACTGGGCCTCTAGTTCACAATAACCGGCTACCATTTATCAGGGAGCTTGCCAGACTCCATGTCCTCTTAATCCTCACCTGTCGCCAGGTGAGGAGCTTAACTCAGATGGAGTCCATTGCCCAAGGCTATCCCGCTGGTGCATGCCCCTTCCCACAGACCACAGGGGTCCAGGTGCTGGCCCAGCCACGCTGTGTGTACCCAGAGATGCTGCAGGCACGCTCTCTGCCCCACAATGACTCACAGACACACTATGATGGGGACTTACGTCTGCATCGTGCAAGCAATTGAGTGCTTTTCTTTTCAAAGAAATAGGAGAGAATTGAACTTAAAGAAATACCAGAGGAGCACATTATTATCCCATGAAGGCTGCTGGGTGTGTGAAACAGGTCACTCTGTAAAGTCAGTTTGTTTTTTTTTTACCAAGGGGATCTTCCTTGGCTCTGTCTCGTTCGATGTTTCTAACGGACACATTGAAGGCTTGTTTATCCATTCAGCAGTCTCAACGCTGGGAGGCATAGCTAACAGTCAGGTGGCCAAATCGGGGCCATCAGGAATGTGACCTTGCTTGACGATGAAAAGAAGCTGCAATAAAATGAAATCTTAACAGCTGGGCACACACATAATCCCATATTTGTGTTCCAAAAACTGACTATGGAAGTGCAGAATGGAAAAGTGATTTGAAAGTAGATATGTGAAAAAGGCCTGAGGCGGTTGGTTAGCAGGAACAGGTTCTGTGGGAACCAATGGTGTAGTGAGAAGAGTGGTGTCCTTACAAATGGAGGGAGATGTGCTCGGTTCCCTGTGAGGCGCTACTTTGATCAGGAGGACGTCATGCTGTGGAAATGCCCAAGGGTCTGTGCATCTGAGGCCACGGAGAGGCCAGGGGCGGGGGGGGCTATGTATCCAAGGCCATGAGGCTATGGGAGGCCCCGAGGCCTGTGTTTGTATAGAATGAGGCTATGGAGAGGCTCAGGGATCTGTGCATCTGAGGCCACGAGACTATGGAGAGGCCCAGGGGGCATGAGCATCTGAGGCCACAAGGCTTTGGGGGAGGCCCTGGGGATCTGTATGTATAACCATGATGCTATGGAGAGGCCCAGGAGGTCTGAGCATGTTAGGCCATGAGATTTTGGGAGGCCCAGGAGGTCTGCGCATCCAGGGCCATGAGGCTATGGGGAGGCCCAGGGGGTCTGTGCATCTGAGTTTTATAATCCACAATCTAACCGGGGGAAGCTGAATAGATCTGATCCAGAGCAACTCTAAGCTCCTCCTAATGTTTACATTTTGAAGCTTGTTTTGCTGGGATTCTTACTTGAAACGTTGAGACAATTCAAACCTCACCGTTGTATACCAAACTTCTGCATGTAAAAATGATAGCACAACTGCATTTTTAAAAATCAGTTACCTCTGTTTTTCACAACGATCAGGTAGTATATTTCAGAGTAACTAAGATTTAAAAATCAGGAGTCCCTGCACAGCAAGGAGAGAAACTCGGAGGCTGTGGAAATTGGGTCAGGACAGCTCGGCGGCAGGCCGGGCACAGGCACCTGCGCAGGCTCCTGGAGAAACACCGGGGCCGCTGTCATCCCGCCAACACGGAAATCACAGATGTTTTGGTCACAGTGACATGCTGGCTCTTTATCCCTGAGAGGCTGGCACAGCTAATGGGGAACAATGTGCTAAGAGGATGGTATTTATCAGACTACCTGTTCTGGCCACCCCAACTTCTTTAGCCAAAAAAAAAAAAAAAAAAAAAAAAAAAAGGCAGAACAAGGTTCATCACTGTCATCTTGCCTTTACCTTAAAGCCTTGGCATTTTTGTTAGGCGTTTCTGTTCTGGTGACACCGCTGGAAAAGCAGCAGTGAGGTGGCAGTTCCTGGGTCCTGACTCGACACTTCACTGCCTGTACTGAGGACGGCCCATGAAAGAACCCAGGTCTAGGGATCTGGCCCAGGAACCACGATCCCCCAGCGCTAACTGCCTTCGGGCCACTGGCTCACACACCAGCTGCCCTGCTCCCCAGGCTCAGGCAGAGGTGAGCCGATCACGAGCAGGTGACTCGGTGTGCAGAGCCTCTTGGCTCCCTCCATCTGTGGCAGCCAGGCTGCCCTGGACAGCAATGGCACCATGGCGGCCCTGGAAGCAACTGTTTCCGGAGGCAGCGGCACTCTGGTAAACCCACAAAGACGCCCTCCAGCCTTCAGCACCGGTGACTCCTGCTTCCCAGAGCTACAGAGGGCTCGAGTCAGAGGACAGTAAAGCCCCTCTGGCGTGATGACAGACAAGAAACCAGACGCCTCTGCCCAGCAGATCCCGTATGTGAGTCCAAAGCCTGTGTGTAGGGGAAGATTTGAACGTACCGCGTGGTTTCCTTAGTCCTTGTGCCTCATTCCGGGGGGAAGGGGGGTCACTTCCTCAGAGAGGTAAATCCGGGACTTACCCACATATTTCCTCCCGAGTAAGATGAGGAGAGTGGTATTATCTCAGAGGGCCCATGGCAGAAATCACAGGCCCCAGGAGAAGAGTGACAAGAAACCAATACACAGGGTGGCCTGAAGTAGGCCTACAGGTGTGAGTATGCGAAAGTTTATTCTTGTATTATTACGCATTATTGTATGAACTATAAATCTGCTCTTGCCCCGCCCTGTATCATCCACGTCGACAGGATAATACAGAGGAGCTCCAACAGCTTCTCTGAGACCCACCCAGGTCCTCGGAAGGAAAATGCACAATACCGGTCCCAGGAGCGCCACGCCGATGCATCGGAGACGACGACTCGGGGACGTGAAGGTAAGACGCTTCACACACAGCACACTCCGAGGGGCGCAGGCAGTGCCATCGCGCGCACACACCGTCCTCCGTTAACCCGACCCAAGGTCAGCCCTGGATCTTGGCTGTTGAGTCCCTTTAACAGTTAGTTCCACGTCAAGTAAGATACTAACCAAAAAGGTTTTAGCTCTTTCGTCTTTTAGGCGAGTTTAGTCCTAAATTTAGGATTCCATAATGTTTTTAAATAAGCAAAGCCTCTCCCATACATGAGCCTGAAGAGGGCATCTGCTTCACTGCAGGAGACACCTCGCTTCCGAGGTGAAAACTAGGCCGGCTTTCTCTCCGGGAGTCCTGCCTGCTCCTTAGCTTTGAGCTCTTCCAGTTTCCTCTGATAGCAGCTCATGAAGTAATCGTCGGGCTCAATCCCCGTGCTCTTCAGGTTCTCCAGGATCTTCTCCAGCCTGGGCACCGATCGGGCTCCCTCCATCTTTCTCGTGCTCAGGTACAGAGTGAACGCCTGGAAGTCCAGGAGCTTACATGTGTCCACAGAGCAGATATTCCTGATATCACTAGTTCTATCCAAATGAGGGAAAAACACCAGTCCCGACAGTTTCTCCAGGTCCTGGAGGCTCACTTGGAATTCACTGAGCTGGGGTTGGAAGCCGATGGCTTCATTGGGCACCACAAAGGCCCCTAGTGCCAGCGGCTCGGTCGACTCTGGGCTCCTGCGAGCCAGGATCACCTTATAAAGGTGTGAGGGGACTGCCACGTTGTCCTCACCAATCACCTAGAAACAAAGCAGCCGTATTAGTGATGCTAATCAATGCTAGCAGTTCCCAAATGTTCCCTGTGAGAGCTTTAGATGCATTTCTAAAAATGCACTTACAAGATACCCCATCGCAGTGAACTTACATTCAACTGCCAGAGGTAATAATAAACCGAAATACAGATTCACAAGGAAGATGAGCATTTAATAGGCAGTTTCTGATCACATTCTTAAAAATGATGCCACCCCAGAGAGCAGGGGTCACATCTCTGCTGTCTGCAGGACAAAGGGATGCCAGGAGTCCTGGGTTTTTAATGGGCAAGAAAAGGCTGTAATTTTCACTGCATCTCATAATCAGAACTTCTGGCCTCTAAACATGTAAAGGTCAAACTGCCAGCTTGGGCACGCCCGCTCTAGAAATAAAAAGATGGCCTGAGTTTATCAAATTCATGAGGGAGCTCAACAAACAGCCTTTCCTTCTCAAATGAAGCACTAATGTAAACGCTGCATGCTCGGAGGCTCGCAGGCTCTGGGGCCAGACACAGACTTCCGCAGGTCATCAAACCAAACCCTCTGGAAGGTGTCCACACAGCGCCAGGGCCAGGGATAGGCCTGGAAAGCTGGCTGCTTGTGTAGCTGGACTGTAATGACAAAATAACAGTTCCATATCTGTTTTCTCAAAAAGCAAACTGCACATGCATTTCCTTGATGGTCTCCCGTTAAACAACACAACCCAGCACCACTGGGCTTGGGCCCCACTGCCCTCCTCCGGCCTCCGTGGTGAGGCCTCCTTCCCCACGGCCCTGCTGGGGCAGATGAGGCCGAGGCCGAGGGCTGCAGAGGGCTCTCTGCTTTCCCCAGGCTCCTACCTACATGGCACGCAGCCTGAAAACTCCTGGCCATCTGCTGTCTGGCACGTACGGAGGTCCCCCTGCCAAAACCAGCGCAGAGCCACAGGGAAGAGCCATCCCAGGGAAGATTTCTATAACTAACTGTCTCTGAAGTTAGTGAAAATGGCTGATCAGGGAGCAGTTTAAAGTCTATGAAATTATACAATCTACAGACACAAAACCCCCACCCCCTCCAACAAGTCATGTATGCAGCTGGGAGGAAAACACTCTTCGAGGCAAAAACACACTAAAGGTGAACTCCATGGGGGTCTACACTGCGCCCAGAGATCACCAGCAGATGTTAATTCAGCTAAGCCAGTGGTGGGCAAACTGGTAGTCAACAGAGCCAAATACCAACAGTACAAAGATTGAAATTTCTTTTGAGAGCCAAATTTTTAAACTTAAGCTTCTTCTAATGCCACTTCTTCAAAATAGACTCGCCCAGGCCATGGTATTTTGTGGAAGAGCCACACTCAATCGGCCAAAGAGCTGCGTGTGGCTCGCGAGCCTCAGTTTGCTGACCACTAAGCTGTGCAACCCAGGGGTCCTGTGCCGGGCACTGCTGGAAACACAGAAAGGGATGAAGCTTTAAAGTAAATACCTGCTCTCCAGAGCTCCCATCTAGAGGAGGAATCTCCACACACAGCTTTCACTGCAGGTGGGATGTGGTGAGACACCCCTGCAGAGCGCAGCAAAAGCGCTGAGGGGGTGGGCGCAGGGAGGTTCCACTGCAGCTGAGCCATAATGTGCAACAAGGGGGGGAGTTTAAATGAGCTTCAAGTGTTCCAGGCACTAGCTGGGAGCCTGAGGTAGAGCAAATCCTTAGTGCCACCTGGCGGACATCCTCCATCACTACAGCATAGATCTCGGACCAACTGAAAGGAGCCTTGGAGACCATTTGATTATTTTCTCTCCTCAGGGGCTCTCAGTCTACAAACAAATGGCAATTTTCAAAAACAATTAATTGGTCATGTTCATTTGCTGCCAACCAGGGCTTCTAACCCAGTTCATTAAATTCCAGCCAAAAGCAAATAAGTTTGACTTAATTTTAAGAGTCGTCATTTTACCTCAAGGAAATGCATCATTTCTATTAGGATTTCAAAAACTCTCACAATAAATACCTAGAGGACCTCTATTACTACTTTTGAGAAACCTCAGAGACCAAGAAGTTCCTACTAATCACAAGGTGTGATTCTTCCACCCACGACCTTCTCACAGTATTTCAACAAAGGGGGGGGGGGGGGGGAAATACTATCCCTGGAAATAAAGAGAAAAATGAAAACTTAAGTCACTATCCTTTCTGATTCAGTCTGCTTTGTTCTCAAGAAGTAAAAATCTTTAGAATAATATAGAAACCAGTCCTATTTGGAAAATGAGAAAGCCCAATGTTTCTTTCTTAAATTTAAGACTTAAAAAAAAAATCCTGAAGTATTTAGAGCTATCATTATCTTTGTAGACAATTCAACCTACATAATAAATTTTTCCACTTGTGAGAAAAAATGGAAGACTTTCAGAAATGTTTCTAGACACTACTAGGGTACTGAAGCAGAACGGTTCAGTGCCCTCAATCCCAGAGACCCGGTCAAGGCCTGGCTGTGCCACTAAGCTAAGACACGCCCACCTCTCTTCTTCACTGATTCATAAATAAGTAACAATCCCAACTCTGCCCATTTCATAGGATAGTTATGAAGATAAAAAGACATGTTCATTAAAAAAGATTTCTTAATCTGCAAGACTTTAATATAAAAGGGTGTTTTTATAGTACATGTCATTCAAAAGACAAGAATGCAACTCGTACAAAAGCTGGTTCTGCAGAGGGACCGAGGGGAAACCTGGGGTCAAGCAAGACGAGACCAGTTAAGGGAGACGCTAGGGTTTCAGGAGGAGAAAGCATACAAATGACACCCTAAACAGAGGACAGGAAGACTTAACACAAACAGATGACTTAGGTATAAAAATACTTTACAAAAGAGATCCTTGCTGCTGTCCACATACCAAAAAGCACTGAACTCTTGTCAAGATTGTAACGAAAACTGAAAATCAACTGAGAGTGACTAGAGAATACAATCCAGATAAAACCATACGCTGACACTCACTCGGGACTTGAAGTTAGTTTTAAGAGGTGCTGGCCTGGGGGTGTTTCCTTCCGTGTAAGAGACAGAAATGACAATTTGCTGCCTTCCCCCACTTCCATCTCTACCACCCAAGTCCACACACACAGAGCTGGGCCTTCACGATGCATCAGCGACCAAAGACACCAGCAGCAAACAATACCTACCGTATTTTTCGGACCATAAGATGCACCGGACCATAAGACGCACCAGTTTTTAGAGAAGGGAAATGAAGAAAAAAAGATTCTGAAACAAATAGTGTCCTAAAATATTTTATGTGCATTAAAACCCAACATCACAGTCATAAACACATGTAATCAACCCTGTAAAGTAAACAGCAGCATTTAGAACCATTTTAGAGCCAGGCAAGCACACAGAGACCACACAGAGCCGGGCAAGTAAAAAAACTTTTTTTTTAAAAGTATATGTGTAGGCTATATTTGGACCATAAGACGCAGGGACTTTCCCCCCCACTTCTGGGGGGGAAAAAGTGCGTCTTATGGTTCGAAAAATACGGTAATCTAAGGCTGCCGTTCTTCACATCAACTAAACTGTTGGACACATCAAGAGACCAAGCCCTTAAAAAAAGTCATGCCAATCAAGTGAAAGAAACCATGATCCTGTATAATAAAGAGCTAATATGCTAATTAGACCAACCAGTAGAACAGTCTGGGCAAAGCCAGGGCTACGAGGGCCAAGCCCCTTGCATGAATTTTGTGCATCAGGCCTCTAGTAATGTCATAAATCAGGACTCCATACCTGAGAGGACAGAGAACAAGAGGAATCACACAAGGTGAGGAAAGTCAGCAGGAGCGTGGCCAGCCTGTGTGCCATCTGTACTAGCAAAGTCTCTTAAAACAAACAGATACGACAATGAAAAGGTTTCTCTAAAGATAAAAAAGGAATTTTTTTTTTTAATTACTCCCTGATCACACGTGGGCATATGTGACCCCTGGGCATGGTTCCATGCCCTCCCCTCCAGGAGTTGGTGACAGTTGGTCAGTAATGCTGTAGAGGGAAAGACTGTTAAGCACCTCTGTTACCACCACCACCGGGTTGTAAAATCTGAAGCTCACTCAGTTGACAGGTCAATTATAATGTTCAGGCCAGAATCTTCAGGTATGTTTCCCTTGTCTGGAATCAATCTCTTCTGGAAACACGCACATCAGAGAAAGCACATGGATGACCTCAGCTATAAAAAAGGGGGTGATTCTGATTAGAGCTGTCAGATGACTCACTTCTGGTAAAAATCACTGCTACTAATATTCCCTGAGGCAAACATTCTCTCACGTCCTATGATGCTGTGACCCTTCCCTACATATTCTAAGGGACATTTCTGCCCGCCTGTGAGGAATTCTCCTCTTGGCCCATTTTCTGCTATTTTTGCACGCAAGCAAATACCACTTCTAACTGCTCTCCATCCACACTGTCTTTTTCCTCCCGGCCTTAAGCTTCTGTATATGAGGAGTGCAGGGATCCCTCTGGAGATTTTGAGAGCTTCAGAACAATGCTCTGAATAACTGGCAATTCTCATACAAGTCAACAGACCCATTCTTGCATCTCGCCTTTGACAATTACTAGCTATGTGACTTGGACTTAACCCCTCAAAACCTCAATTTCCTTACCTACAGAAGTAGATAACTATTACTTGTATGTAAGGGCTGTTTGTGAGGACTGAATGAGATAGAAGTAAAGAGCTATTTATTCACTGTGTGGTACATGTGGCCCTCAATAAATACCAGTTCATTTGCTTCACTTAATCCAAAGTATACACATGTATGCTCCATGCTAGATAGAAATCTAAATAAATACCCTTATTTTTATTAGATACATTTTCCTAAGGTTCAGATAATACTTGTAAATAAACAATAAATATTAAGTGGCGGGATCTGAGAAAACAAATTCCCTGGGAAATAGAAATTCTTAATTCAAATATTTATTCCTTGTGAGGAACAGACAAACGTCTAGGGCTGAGCAGTGCTGTGCCCTCTTTCTCAGCTTCACTAAAGGACATGGTTTTACCCACAACTGTGTTACATGAATTGCTAGCAAACAGCTGAACTTTTTATCTGGGCACTCAAGGTTTTTAACACCTGGCCCCAACCACCTTTCCTTCTATTTTTGTCTCTTTCATAATATGAACGCTTCAACCCAAATGTCAGGAACTCACTGCTTCTCAGCTCAGATCCTACCTTTTTCTCTGTCTTCCGTTTTTCTCCCGCTTCTGTTTTCCTTAACCAAATTATATATGTCCATGCATACATAAAAAATTTCTAGCCCAATTAAAGTGGCAAGCTCTGAGACAATTTTTCCAATTTACTCAGTGATTATATTTTGCTTTTAGACATAGATATATGCTAAAAATTTTAAGTTTAAAATTTCACCTGGACGCAAAATAATGCTAAATCTAACAAAAGCTGTTGGCTGATTAGAGAAATTGTTAGTAAAAAATAAAATATATAAAGGTAGATTTTACTTTGATATGATTCCAAGAATGAAAAACTATATGCTTCACCAGAAATATAGATTCCTATTAACATTAACTTTACATACACCTTTCTCTCTCTCTCTCTCTCTCTCTCTCTCTCTCTCTCTCTGTCACACACACACACACACACTATGCTTTCTGACAAGGGACTATACATCGCATTCTCAAAAAAACAGAGAAAAACTGAAAATGGAGAGAAAAGGCTCCCGACAGCGAGCCACTAAAGAATAGAATTCACATACTTCTTTCTTAAGGCTCTCTCCACCTATTATAAAAGGCTAAAAATAAATGTGGTGAACACACATGACAAGCCAAACAGCCGACCAAGCACTCAAGAATCAGCTTGTCATCCAGATCTTGGTTCTAAATACCAATCTCCATTGAAAGGAACGAGGGCTTCTCAGAAAAATGGATAATCCCAGAGTTTGGCCAAGATGAGCCTGGACAATCATGTTACCCAGAAAGTAGATAATGCTGAAATGAAGATTAGAACATGTCAAAAGGACTCAGGCAACAGCTGGAAGAGGCTCCCACTGCCTAATATGGGAAAATCTGAGCATCAAAATGAATACACAGTAAACTGATTAAAACTCATTGAATAAACTAAGAGCCCATGAATTCACACTGATCATAAATATGACGGATAAGCTCTTTGTCAGTAGAATGCCAACTAATAAATGAAATGCAGAAGGGCCCTGACAGGGTGGCTCAGTTGGTTGGAGCGCTGTCTCATGCACCAAAAAGGCTGCAGGTTCAATTCTCAGTTGGGGAGTATGGCAGGCAACCAATAGATGTTTCTCTTTCTCTCTCCCCCCCCATCCCTTCCTCTTCCTCTAATATCAATAAACATATCCTCTGGTGAAGATTAAAATACAATGTAGAAGGACTAAGAATTAGAAAATTGTCATTTGGCAACAACTGTAGTAATAACTGATTCAGGCAAGAATCACTAACAAGTGCTAAAACTAACAGGTGAAGGGAAGAAAATTTACATGGTCTCAAAGCATTTCCAAAGATTACTAATTCACTTCAAAGGGGAAATGGTAACCGAGCAGCGGATCTGCAAGAGACCACTTTGACCACGTGACCAAAGGGATTACCGTCGAGAGCAGGACGAACAATCCATGCATCCTGAAAGGACCACTGAGGCGCACCCAGGGGCACCGCTGCGGGGTGCTGCCAGAAACGTGCCTGAACCAAGTCACGAGGAAACCACAGACCCAATTTGAGAACACACTGCAACACCGGCCTGTATTCTTCAAAATGTCAACGCCATTCAAGACAGAAAGGCTGCAGGACTGGCTGCCTCAGGTTCAAGGCATCATCCTGGATTGCATCCTGAATCAGTTCTCCACTGATCACTCCTTCCGTGAGGTGCTTTTGTCACCTGACACCTGGACACCACTCTGCTGACTCTTCCACCTCAAAGGTGGCTCCTTCTGTCTCCTTTGCTGGATGACCCTCCTCCCCTCAGCCTCTAAATGGCTGAGTTCTCCTGGTTCGGATCTCAGATCGGTCCTCTTCTAGCTACACAGCTTTAAATACCATCTGAGTGCTGACCATTCCCAACAGCCTCTCCTTTGAAATCCAAACTCACAGCCTATCCAACATCTCATCTCCATGTGCACATCAATAATCGAAAATGTGCACAGCCGAAGCACAGCCCCTAGACCTGCTCCTCTCTGGTCTTCATGATCTCAGTCTGAAACCCTGAGGTTGCCCCTTTCCCTCTTATTCTATTACTAATCCATTAGAAGCCCCCGAGTTTTACCTGCAAGGCACATCCAACATCAGGCCACTCTCACCATTTCTACCACCGCCACTCTACTCCAGTCATCATTATTTCTCACTTAGACGACTCCATTAGCCTCCTAATTGGCCCCCTATTTCCATCTCGTTCTCTGTTCTTCACATGCAGCAGCCAGCCTGGGCTTAAAAAATGTAAATGAGACTGTGCCACTATCCTGATCAAAACCTTACACGTGTCCTATCTCACTTAACACAACTCAGACTTCTCCCCAGTGCCTCCCCCCGTGGCTTACCCCCTTCTCCTCAGTGCGCTCTCGGCTCCAGCCACCCTGGCGTTCTTGCTGTTCCTGACACACTGAGCTAAATCTCGCCCGTGACAACTCTTCACATGGGTTGCTCCGTCATTTCCCTTAGATTTCTGCTCAACCTCACTTCCCCGAATGGCCTAGCCTTTCTTTCCCACCCCACTGTAACTCTCTACAGGTCTTACTTTTCCTTGGCATTCTGTTGATGGTGTATCTCCTCCACTATAATGTAACCTCCATGTAGCACACACGGAAGCACACAGAACAGCACCAGGTATGTCTTGGAAGCTTAGTAAACGTTCGTTGAATAAAAGAAAGGGAGAGCGGAGAGAGACAGGGAGGGAGTAAAGTAGTCTAAATTAGAAAGAAAGTCAGGGGCTCCAAGAATAATGTCTCAAGAAGAAACTGATTTACTTTTTTTTTTTTTTTTAATAGTGATAAGGTTAAAAGCTCTGAATTAGAAAGAAAAAGCATATTATTACATTTTTAAAAGCAGTAATTATACTACTGTACACTGCCACCTTTACTTCCCACTTCTCAGTGTTTTGCTTGTGGCAGTACTCATCTCAAGTGGCATAGCCGTAATGATATAGGATTATATCTACTTCTTTACAAGTCCAAACATACTACTTATACATTGCTAACACTATAAATGCTGGTTTTATATTTTCGATAGACCCAGGAGGATAAACCCGACGACCAACAAGAGCCACGGGGGAAATGTAAGTGGTGAAACGGGCCGGTGGACCGCGGTGAACCAAAGAGCTTGCGCTCCGCTCGGGAGCCAGCTGCTGCGCTCACCCAGCGAGCGGTGCCGTGGGAACCTATGCCAAGTGTGACCGAGTCATCTGACGCGTTTAAGGGAAGCTGAACTCTGGGTTTATGTGACAACTCCCAACTATTAAACATTATCAACTAGTTCAAAAACAACATTCTGTGCAAGCCAAATAAAGCCTCAGTTTATAAACTCTGATATAGGCAAAGCTTGGACTAAATTATAGCTAGCAAACATAAATGTTAACACAGTTCAGTAAGTGAAATAAAAAGTAGAAAACCAGGAGGAGATTATAATCTCATACAAAGAGCATAAGACTGGATGTTAAAACATGTCCCTACCTGGTAACTAACTATTTTCTTTCCATCACTTCCAGTCTGAGGTAAGGTCAACGGCCCAGATACAATCCAAACATCTTCAAACCTCTCTGTCAGTTCTCGACAGTACATTTCTATTCTGAAAAACAATGCAAAAAAATGTATGATATTCTCACAGGCTTAAACAGAGAAAAGCAGCACACCATACCATATCCCTAGGAAAGATGCCAAGGATACTTAGAGACATTAATATAAACAAGTGATAGGGCACAAAACATTATAAGCATGTAAGCAATGCTTTTCCCAGTTTGTTTACCACACAAAAAAACTTAAAAATCACACACATTAGCCGAAACCGGTTTGGCTCAGTGGATAGAGCGTCCACCTGTTGCAGGCACATCCCTGGTAGGGGGTGTGCAAGAGGCAGCTGATCGATGATTCTCTCTCATCGATGTTTCTAACTCTCTATCCCTCTCTCTTCCTCTCTGTAAAAAATCAATAAAATATATATTTTTAAAATCACACACATTAATACAATTATCTACATCTTACTCTGTGTACATTGTGTTTATTTTAGAACTGAAATTTTGTCCTTTTCTCCCTTATTTTTCTATGCTGTAGTTCTTAAACTTTTACAAGAATGAAATACCATTCCAACTAAGTTGATCTTTTTTAAAAAAATATATATTTTACTGATTTTTTACAGAGAGAAAGGGCGAGGGATAGAGAGCTAGAAACATCTATGAGAGAAAAACATCAATCAGCTGCCTCCTGCACACCCCCTACCGTGGATGTGCCTGCAACCAAGGTACATGTCCTTGACTGGAATTGAACCCGGGACCCTTCAGTCTAAAAGCCGTTGCTCCATCCACTGAGCAAAACCAGCCAGGGCTAAGTTGACTTTTTATTTAAGTACTAGAGGCCTGGTGCACAAATTCATGCACAGGTGAGGTTACTTGGCCTGGCCAGTGATCAGGGCCGAATGGGGCCTGCTGGCCATGAGGGGGGGAGGGAGTGGGAGGTTGATTGGCTGTGGGAGTGCACTGACCACCAGGGGGCAGCTGCTGTGCTGAACATCTGCCCCCTGGTGGTCAGTGCAAGTCATAGTGACCAGCTGACAGTTCTTTTGGTCAACCAGTTGTAATGGTCATTTAGGCTTTTATATATATAGATTCCTATTGTGGGGCAATTGAGTTTATTCTCATACTTCTTATATAATGCAACATTATATTAATTCCTTAGGATAAATTTCAAGGGCCAAAGTTACTTTATTGAATATTTTAGTGACATTTCATTATATGTTATACTAATATTTTTAATGGAATTGTCCCACTTTACTCTGTAAACTGCAAAATGACACAGGAGTTTTACAGCCATCTTTACCACATTTTGATGTGTCACTTAAAAACTGTTTTTGCTTATTTACTGGATAAAAATGGCCAGTAGTTTCAATATGCACTTCTTATACTGCAATTGAGCTTTATGAGAAAGCAATGCATGTTTCATTATCTAAAAAGTAAAGTTTCATTATCTAAAAAGTAAAGTCATAGCATATATGCCCAATAACAAAGTAGAGTTTTCCTCCCCAAAATATAACTCTTAGGATGTTAAACACTTCCATATATTTGCAATCAGACAGCATATGAAAAGGAAACCATAGGACAAATATCCCAGATTTTCAACAAATAATTTACAAGGGGGAAAAAAAGGGGGGGGGAGGGGAACGACGACTTATAGATTAAAAGGGACTAAAGAGAAATATCACCCAAATCTACTTGTAGACCTTGGTTAAAGTCTGACTCAAACCAATCAACAACAAATTAAAGACAATCAGGAAAACTTGAATATCGACTGTAAAAGTGATAATAAGGAAGTACTATTAAAATTTTGAGAGGCAATAAAAGAATCTATCTTTAAAAAATATGTATTGAAATGGTAAAATAACATATCTATGACCTGCTTACAATAATCTGAGTAAGAGGGGTATGTAGACAACACAGATGCTACCACAACTGACAAGCACTGCAGTCACCTTGAGTGCACAGGTGCTCTCTTAATTATTTTATTCCACAAAAGTACTATTTGGGGAAAACACGTCAACTAGAAACAATCTCATTCAGTGCTAGTTTTAAATGCTTAAAGAGATACCCTGACAAAACTCATTTAAAACTGGTTAACGGTTATATTTAGTTGTACCAATTTTTTTTAAAGCTAGCAACTCTTGAAATACAAGTAGAGAAAAACACTGTTTTCTGGACATATTAAAAAATATTTGATGCCTTAGCAATAGTACTTTCTTCAAGAATTTGACGTCTGACCAATGGCAAACAGGATTAAAATGACTGGCTATGTTTTTGAAGTCTGTCCTCCCATAGCAAACTATACTCCTGAAATACAGCAAAGAAAACTAGTCTGAAGCACTTCATGAAAGTTACTTCCACTAAAAATGGCTTTTGAAAACAAAGACAGAAACAGCTGATAAACAACTAGCAAATTCTCCTCACATCATTCATCTCCCACAGAACCACACCTTAAAACTCTCACCTCACCTGTTCCAATAGCCAGCATTATTATCATAATCCTGAGGCACAATATTAGAAAGATAGAAGGTTTCAGCCATGGCTTTCTGTGAAAAGAAATAACAAGAGTAACTTGTACTGAAATGCCTGCCCCCTGGAAATTTTACAAAGCAGAGAACACTAGCTCCTTATTAATGCAATTGCAGAGGAAAGCCAGAGGTATAGCAGGACACAGAGTCATTATTTTCAATGATTATTCAAAATAAGGACTATAACAAAATAGATGTGCTAGTTTTCTTCATAATTTATAAAGCTCAAACCTTTAGTGTGGATTCTAAGAACTAAGAGTTTCCAATATGAAGCTAAAGAGTTTTACCCTAAATTCTGGTTTTAAGCCTCTGGCAGTTTTTCCAAGGTCAACTTTCAGGAATTTTACTTAAGTAGTACAGTACATACATATTAGTTCAACTGTGGCAGAGAAACATTCTTGTTCTGGCCACCACGTGTTCGTTCATTTTGCACGTCTGACCCGTAAACACAGAGGTCTGTGTGTTTCCTTTCATTGAGCTATACCAGTGGTTGGCAAACTCATTAGTCAACAGAGCGGCAAACCACGGCTTATAAGCCACATAAAGCTTGTGAGCCACAGTTTGCCGACCACTGAGCTATACTAATTGCCAAAGCCAATTATCTTCTCTTCGAGCAGTGACTCCCACCCTTGGCTGCACACTGGAATAACCCAAGGAACTTTAAAAACAGTTGGTTGAGCATCCATCCTGTGTACCAAAGATTACTGGTTTGGCTCCCAGTCAGGGAACAGCCCTGTGTTGTGGGTTTGGTTGGGGTACATACGGAGGGCAACAAGTTGATGTTTCTCTCTCTCTCTCCCTTCCTCCTCCTCCTCTCTAAGCATGTCCTCAGGTGAGAGTGCCTGGGTTCCACCACCACCAAGAGTTTCTGACGTACCTGCTCAGGGTTATAGGTCTGGGCATCAGGAGTTTTTAAAACTCCCCTAGGTGACTACATGAGTACCTCAAGTTGAGAACCACCATCTTAATGATGAAAGTCACCAGCAATTCATGCAGTAAATGTCAATGTCATAAAAGACACGTATCTTCTTTTTTTTAGCGATTATCCTGAATTAAAGGAGACTGGAGACATATGACAACTAAATGTATTATGTGATTCATAATTGGATACTAGATCCAAAAAAAGCTGTAAAAAACATTAGAAGAATTTGACATATCTGAAATGCAAACTGTGTATTGGAAATTATTGTATAACTATACAAAAACACATCTTGCACACATTTTGGTTATGACATCTTGTCATAGCTACATATATTCTTTCTTAAATGGTACCATCTCCTAAGCCATATATTTTGAAATGAAGTGTTATGATGTCTGTGACGGTTAAAGTTTTATATACACACACTTGTAAAGTAACTATATCACAATGTGTTTGCTGTCCTCTCTTTTCCACTTTTCTATAGGCCTGACATTTTAAAAATAAAAACAAGTAGCTTTTGCTCATTTTGGCTTTTATCTAATAGTTCCCTTTACATAGGATTTGCTTTCCTCAACCTGCTTAAAACTGTCTCAGCATCTGAGCGAGAAATAAAGTCAGGGGGAGAAATAGAGTATAGAAAACCTCAAGTTTTGCAGTTTGGCTGCTTGGTTAATCTCCAAGTCCCACGGAACAATGCCAGCCCACAGGCCCCTCCCCCACACACAATATGCCTACTGGTGAAAACTTGTTATTTCCCGCTGGAGCCATGTGGCCTCGGGACCACCCACTTCCAATGTAGTCCTTGTTGAAGGCACTGAAGGTTGGAGGGATGTTGGGATCCGGCTTGAATTTGCAATTTCTTCTGTCCGCAGCACCTGAAGAAAAACACACAACACGAGTAAGTTATCAGTGGACAATGTCCCTCACAATCCTCTAAGCAAGGCAAGCTGGTTGCTCTGGCCAGTATCTCTCTGGGCAGCTAGCAGTTAGTGACTGCATGCATGTGTCAAGTTCCTGGGATAGTTCAGATACTTCATCTGAATTTAGCAAGGACTAGTCTAGGAAAGAATGCTTTTCATACAGTGTAGCCATCTCATATAGTACTTTTGTTTCTGGCCTTTCAAGTAAAAGGGGAAAATATTTCCCAGATAGTATTTACATAAAAACAATAACCAATTAAATAGCTGAGCTGTTTAAATAAAAAGTTTAGCTACTAAATTCTTGCTTTTTAAAAAGACCCTCATATACTGTATTTTGCACAACTGTATTTGACAAGTTTACATGGACTGAAATAATGGATATATATAGACACAAAACAATTTGTTCTGGGCAGGCATAGCCTCGCGGAGGGGGAGAGTGTCTCTGATATCTTGCTTACTGCCTCTTAAGCCATGACAAAACAAATATTTAAGTTATGAGCTTAATCCAGAAAATTCCTGAAATAAAATATCTAAGTACCACATGGGAGAGAAGAACTCTCAATTTTACTTATATTCTGATACCTCCAGAATAGTGTGCCACAGTGGACATCAGCAAATCCTAGCTCTACATTTTCTATCATTAGGACAGAACTTATTAAATTATAACAATTATGAGGATAGATGGAATATACTGACTGCTACTGGAAAAAAAAAAAGTAAAATGGAGATCAATAAAGTTATTGACTGCAATGTCATTTCATTCAACCAAGAATAATTTTTAAATTATTTGATATCAAGGTTCAGAGTAAAGTATCCAATACCTAGCTTTTTAGAATCTTCATTTAAAAAAAAAAAAGTTACTGGGTATACAGAAGAATTATTAGTAAACTTCTCCGAGTGTCATTACCAGTGAAATCGCTTCCCTGCATGCCTGATGCTCACTGCGCTTGAAAACTCATTTGTGGGCCTTTCTGAAGGCCTAGGATGAAGATGCCTTCCTGGAGCGTGCATACACACTCACTTGTTCGACCAGGGGAAGATATTTTAAAACAAGGCATCAGCAGGGGAGGATGTTTTAAACCACGCTCAGGACTGAAGCTTCCTTGAGCTGTCCAGGCTTTAGGCTATAAGTCTGCACAGGCAGTCTGTGGCCTTGACTTCCCCAGCAGCTTTTATTCTACTTTTTGACCCTTCTCTGCTCAGGGCAGGAGAGCCTACCATGTAGTCCCCTATGGTGGGCAGGCAAGCTAGTTCTGGTTCACCCTAAGGTGCAGCCCTCTGGGGATCTGGGCTAATGCTGGGAGGGTCTCCGATAAGACAGGCTACTTGGGTGAACCCTAGGTCTTGCCTTCAGCCCACCTCACCCTGAGGCTGCACTGTGGTTTTGGTTTGCCGGGACTGCCCTGACCTCTGGATTCTGGCTTTCTCCCAAATATAAGTTGGGAACCACCACCTTAATGATGAAAATCACCAACAACTCAGGCAGTAAATGTCAATGGCATAAAAGGCATGTATATTCTTTTTTGGCAGAGAAATTGTCCTAAATTAACGGAGACTGGAGACATATGACAACTAAAATGTATTATGTGATTCATAATTGGATCCTGGATCCAAAAGTAGCTGTAAAGAATGAAACTAGAACAATCTGGCAAATTTGAAATGCAAACTGTATTCTAGATATATAGCCTGGCAATTCTCCACTATCCTGTTGACTCTGCATTTACGTGAATGTATGATTTTTTAAAATACACTTTTTTCATACTTCTAATAACACTTTTTTTAATTTTTAAAAAATATATATTTTATTGATTTTCTTACAGAAAGGAAGGGAGAGAGAGAGCTAGAAACATCGATGAGAGAGAAACATCGACCAGCTGCCTCTTGCACACCCCCTACCGGGGATGTGCCCGCAACCAATGTACATGCCCTTGACCGGAATCGAACCTGGGACCTTTCAGTCCACAGACCAACACTCTACCGCTGAGCCAAACCGGTTTCGGCTCTAATAACATTCTTGCTTTTAGCAGGAGAGTTAGTCTGATTAACTTTGTCATTACTAAAAACAAGACACTTTATACTATACTTAAGTAAATCACAGGTAGATTCCTTCTTGTTTTCAAATATAAGTAATTGGCTCTATTTTACCTCCTCAAACCTTACACAGCTCATGGGTTTATTATATGAAACTCAATGCTTTTCTTACATCCTCCTGAAAGAAATAACTTAATAAAAGGATAAAATTAGTACAAGCCAAAATACCTTGATTCTTGGGAGAATTTTTGCATTTAAAGGAATCTCGTTAGGCTTGAGACTAAATGAATTGAGTTTCCCTTGATGCAAATTTATAATCAAGTCTCAACTGCTATGATAACTGCTCCTCAGTTCCTCTCCTGCAGCAAACACATTCCAAGCTGCTGCTGTTATGCTGGTTGTGTGTACTCTATGGAGGCACACACTCATTTTAATAACAGCATTTTTATATACATAAAGATGGCAGTGTTGCAAAGCAAAGGAGATATAACCTGTGAGCCATATAGCAAATTAATAGGCAAAATACAAAATAAGAATAGAACAACTTTGACAAAAGGCAGTATCCTTAATATATGAGAACTACTACAAATCAATTCAAAAAAGAATATCCCAACTGAAAATAGTAAAAGATAATTCACAAAACAGTAACCCTCACTGGCAACCAATAAATGCAAGTAAATTCAGCTATTAAACTGGGAAAGCCCAGCCGGGACCGGTTTGGCTCAGTGGATAGAGCATCGGTCTGCGGACTGAAAGGTCCCAGGTTCGATTCCGGGCAAGGGCATGTACCTTGGCTGTGGGCACATCCCCAGTGGGGGGTGTGCAGGAGGCTGCTGATCGATGATTCTCTTTCATTGATGTTTCTAACTCTCTATCCCTCTCTCTTCCTCTCTGTGTAAAATCAATAAAATATATTTAAAAAATAAAAAATAAAAAAATAAACTGGGAAAGCCCAGTAATGCCCATTGTGGGTGAGGGTTGGGAGAGAGAGGACAAATAGTGATAATAGGAGTGTAAATTGAAATAATTTATCCCGAAATCAATTTGACACCGAGTATCAAAACCTGGTCATCTTAATTACAAGAATCTACCAAGACACAGGACACATGAACAGACTTCACACACCTACTACCTCTCCAGTCTCATTTCACATCATGTCCTCCCTTGCTTGCAGCCACTCTGGCCTTTAGTTCCCAAAGGAACAAAACTCTTCCTACTGGGGCCTTGAAAGATGCAACTATGCTTTCCTTTCTGCCTGGAATGCTCGTCTCTGTATCACATGGCCCACCAACTCCTCTGCCATCCCCTCTGCAGACCACTTTGTTAGAGAAGCCCGCTAAATCAGATTCTCCTGTTATGATCTCTCCACCTTTCTTTATTTACACAAACCCAAACTGCAATCACGTTTCCCCCAGAAAGTTATCACCAACTATAATTATACATTCATGACTATTTGTTTGATAAGTCAACCCACGCCCACTCCAACTCCAACCCCAAGAGACCATCTGCTCTGGTCACTAATATATCCCCAAGATTTAGCAGTGTCAGAAACACTAAAAGTAGTTGTGGAGATAATGAATGAATGTTGCTTGTTGCAGCAATGTTTATGACATACTTATGTGTCAAGATATAGATCCTCTCAGCCTCTGAGGCAGCTGGGAAGGGTCTGGGGCTCCCTGACGGCCAGACAGGGTCCATTTGTCTAGTGAGCTACACAAACATCCTTTGCTAAACGTGTTGTAATGTGAAAAAGGCTGAGCTGATCACTGATGTCCCATGTTCTAAATTTGGAAACATCTTTCAGTGATGGCTGTACTTCTAACCACCTACCCATGATCTTGCTTTTGGATATATGTTCAAGAACCCATCTAGGCACCCGCTTTGACTGGTCATAAGACAAGGCATGGTTAGTGTAGCACCTAGTCTCTGTTCCAGTTAAAGGAAATCCAAATTGTCCCAGGAGAGCCTTTTCTGCAGAACCTAAAAATGAAAAAAGGGGAAAAAACAAAAATAGCAAAGTTAGTGACTCTTATTAGGAACAAAAAAAAATTGTAAGTAAAGGAAGAGGGGTAAGACTTACAAAGGACTGACTCAAAAGTTAATCAACCAAGAGATCTTGCTTTTGCAATTACTTATAAACAAAGAGGAGGCTGTAGACAAAAGACAGGTTTTGCCTAAATTCAGTTGTACAGTTATATCAAGATAAACTGTAGCTATCTCATTTACTTTCAAATAAGGACCTGATCTGACTGCTCCTTCACATCAAAGTTTCAAATCTCTGCCCCACAAAGTACTGTGTACACAAAAGCAGCAAAGGAAAAACTCTTGTTGTTACTAGTCATTGGCATGACTGAATGGGGAATGAGCCGCTCTACTCATTATGTTTTAAGAGTTAATGTGGGGCCTGGCTGGTGTGGCTCAATTGTTCAGCAGGAACCCAAGAACCAGGGAGGTCATGGTTGGATTCCCAGTCAGGGCACATGCCCAGACTGCCAACTGGGTCTCCAGTAGGGGCAGCCAATCAGTAATTCTCTCTCATCATTGATATTTCTCTCTCTCTCTCCCTCTGCCTTTCTCTCTGAAATCAATAAAAAATATTTAAGAGTTAATATGGGGACTAAAGCACAGCCCTTTTAAATTTACTTATGGCCCTAACTGGTTTGGCTCTGTGGATAGAGCATCGGCCTGCGGACTGAAGGGTCCTGGGTTCGATTCCAGTCAAGGACATGTACCTCGGTTTCGGGCACATCCCCAGTAAGAGGTGTGCAGGAGGCAGCTGATTGATGGTTCTCTTTCATCAGTGTTTCTAGCTATCTCTCTCCCTTCCCCTCTAAAAAAAACACTCAATAAGATATATTTTTAAAAAATAAATAAATTTTATTTATGTATTTATTTGTTAATCCTCATCTGAGGATATTTTTTCCATTGCTTTTTAAAGAGTGGGAGGGAAGGAGGAGGGGTATAGGGAGGGGTGGGGGAAAGAAAGAGAGACACTTTGATTGGTTGCCTCCCACATGCACCCCAACCAGCATGGGGATCCATGCTGCAACCCAGGTACCTGCCCTTGACTGGAAATCGAACCCAAGACCCTTCCGTGCACGGTCAACACTCTAACCACTGAGCGACACCTGCCAGGGCTTAAATTTTTTTAAAGGTCATCATTCACTGACCATGCCTCACGGTTCTGGTATTGCTGCAGCAAGACAGTAGTAAACTTGGCCTTTTTCCTAGCGGGAGAAACCCAGCACGCATTGAACGGGGACTGCCTTCTCCAGCCTTTCCCCAAATACTAGTTCTCTCGCTACACCGAGGATCAGAAGAGCACGTTAAATGAGCTGGGGGGAAAGTGTACAGGTGAGCAGAGCTCCCTTCCTTTGTCAAATACAGGGCACACCTGGTAACGTGGGGATGTCAGCTCCGAAGGAGGGCTCGCAGACATTCTTCCTCTGAACGATAGAGAGACCAACCCACTCACGTGCTTAAACTACGTGTGAATCCTTGCCGAATCCGGTTTGGCTCAGTGGATAGAGCGTGGGCCTGCGGACTGAAAGGTCCCGGGTTCGATTCCGGTCAAGGGCATGTACATCGGTTGCAGGCACATCCCCAATGAGGGATGTGCAGGAAGCAGCTGGTCGATGTTTCTCTCTCATCGATGTTTCTAGCTCTCTATCCCTCTCCCTTCCTCTCTGTAAAAAATCAATAAAAATCTACATACCCAGACGTGGCCCGCCTCTTAGGAGCTAACCGTCCAGAGGCGGACAGACGGGGACTCGGACATCCCGATAAATACTTGGAGGGGAAGAAGAGATGAAATCCCCGCAGGAAAGACGTGGGTGGAAGAGGCAGCCTAGACGGGGCGTGGGGAGCGGAGGCCGAGCAGGGAGACAGGAAAGGCCCCAAACCACGGGCGGGGAGGGAGCCACGTGGGGAGATGGAAGACCAGGTGGACGACGATGGACTCACGCCCCACACCTGGGTCGGGGAACGGAAACCAGGCCCAGACTTACCTTCCGGCTCCCTCGCCGCCAACGCAGCCTCAGTGCCCTGACTCCGGAGGAACTGCAAGGCCGTGAGCCCGGCTCCCGCGGCGCCCACCACCGCTCCGGCCACGAAGCCGCTGAGAAAGCGCCGAGAGCGCCGGAGACGCGCTGCAAAACTTTTGGCAGCCATCGTAGCAGCCGCGGCCTTGGGCGACCGCGCACGCGCACACACGGCTGTGCTGCCCGAGAGCCAATCACAGCCTTGGCACCAAGGCGCGCATGCGGACTGGAGAGGCCCGGAATGCGCACGCGCGCCCTCCTGGGGGGCGGGGGGGGAAGGGCTTCGCGCGCCCCCTGGTGACAAACCTGGAGGCCCGAGCGCATCCCCCTCCATCCCTGGCCCACTGGAATGTCTTGAAGGCTCAGTAATGTATACCGTCCTGAGGGGGGAAAACACCTTGAGTCTAATCCCACCCAACAGGTGAGTAAGCCACTTGCGCATGGTTAACTAAGGTCCTGAGAGCCGAGATTCTAACCCAGGTCTCTTTCCAAAACCTGCGCCACGTTGGATGTCTTCGTGACACCTGGCTTTGGAGTCACAGGGTATACAAACCGTAACTTCTAAAAACAGCTTCGTACCTCCTAAGGATTTCCTTGACAAGACAGTACTCCATGGCACCCGCCTTTGACCGGGTACCGTACCCAAGACCCTTCACTGCATGACCAACGCTCTTACCACTGAGCCCACCGGCCAGGGCTTAAATTTCTTTACTTTTCATACTCCATTTAGGCTCTGGATCCTGAATCTCAGAGTGCAGGAGCTCCCACCCCACCTTCCTCCCTCCCCCCCCCCCCCCAAAAAAAAAACCTTCTGTGTCCAGTTTCTTTTAGGGGAAAAGTTCCTTTGTTGGAGGGAAAATTTGACCATAGGACTCTTACAATCCAAACTTCCAGCTCCTAGAGCCTCATTCAAAACCGTGCCTTCCTGTCCTCTGTGCTCAGCATTAGGGGTACTCACTCATAAAAGGTGAACGTTCTGAACCTGAAAAGGCAAAAATAAGCCAAACCCTGGACAACTGCTCCCTAAAAAAAAAGGGCTCCTTTATTAGAAAGTAGTCCCCAAGAATTCCAAGCAGGTTGTTTTATCCTTATAAAGGGGCAAGTAAAAAGGAATCTGCCCCACCAGAAGGATGCAAAGCTGGTGTTTCTCCACTTACCCAACTTTAGTCACCAGCCAAAAAACAATTCTTTAGATGTCACTGCAGAAAACAGTGGGGTGACTTCTGGGGCTTTCCGTGTTTTTGTTTTGTTAGGTGGTAGAAACGACAATTATTTTATCAGCAGGGAACCGCGTTTCATTTAGTGAGATAAGTCAGGAACTCCACAACGTTAAGAGCTGGCTTGCTGATTCAGATCTGGGGTGGTGGCCCAAAACTCTGTTGTTGAACAGCTCAGCAAGTGACCCTGATCCTCAGCCACGTTTAGGAGTGGCAGAGCGTGTATTCTGCAGTGGTCCTGCATATAGTAACCCGTTTTCTAGGCACCTCTGTTCTGCTTGCAAAAACATGGCTCAGGATTGCCTGCAAAGTATAAGACTGATATCTATGTGGGGGATCTTGGAGATTTGGAAAATATACCCCTGCTCTAAGGAACTTAGCCAAAGTCCCAAGACAGTTCATTTAGGACAGTGGTCGGCAAACCGCAGCTCGCAAGCCACATGCAGCTCTTTGGCCCCTTGTGGCTCGGCGTTAGAACCATTTCTTCAAAACAGACGTGCCCAGGCCGAAAACCGACTTCTATGCATGGGCCACAAAGTTTCAATCACACTATACATGCACGCCCACACGTGGTATTTTGTGGAAGAGCCACACTCAAGGGGCCAAAGAGCCGCATGTGGCTCGAGAGCCGCGGTTTGCCGACCACTGATTTAGGAGAAACCCAGGATCTCCAACTGGGCCCTGGGTTTTGGGAGGGGAGATGGGAGACCCATGCCTAGCTCCTCCCCACAGGACCACGCTAGACGAGGCACTCAAACATCCACTACCCCACGTGTACCAAGTGGGAGCTCACAGGAGCCCGAGTCGGCCAGAGCAGCCTTTTAATTATTCCGAATCCCCATGAAAAGAAACCTCAATCCCCTGCCCAGGGATCACGAGAGACAACAGGATTTTTTCAATATTATTATTATTTTATTTCCTTTTCATATACAAAAAAGATAAAACTTGAAATAGTTCTAGATTTTTCCTCCTATTCTGTTGGGGTGTGGCTGCTTCTTCACACGTGGTAGGGGGGAGGAAGGGGGCTACATTCACATCGGTTTGTTTGAGGACCCAGTGCAGAGTTCAAGCAGCAAAACCCCAACGTACCAGAGCTAATTCCAAACTTGACACTCGTTTCTAAAATCACCACAGGAAAAAGAGGAACAGAGAGCCACTGCAAATGAATGAACTATGATACAATGTTCTTTCCAAAAATGCCTTCATTTTGCAACTGTAATTACATGGATGTCTGCTTTAGGCCATTTTCGATGTGTGCGTGTATAGGATATATATGTGTGTGTGTGTGTGTGTAACATATATATCAGCACACATTTGGAATCCAGACAGGGTAACAGCAACAAACTTTACTCTGTGTATATATAGATAGATATAGTTTTAAAAACATGATACTTCAGTACAACTTCTGTTAATTCAGTAGTACAAGCTATTTGTCCTACAAAATTTTCATTTTATAGCTACAAGGGTGAAAGTGACCTATTACATTTACATCTCACATATCCTGGCATACAAACAGTACCTAACCAAATTTGAGCCAAAAACTGGAAGTCTTTCGTTTTAGCACTTGGAAGAGCTTCCTTGCTGCGAACAGCCTTAAGTCATATAGTCACATCCCCAGAGTCTGCAATTACTCATTTTAAAACCGCAAGGAACAGGTGAATCCAAACTTTTAATTACAGTGTTTTATATACAAGTTAGATAACACAGCTCAGTAAGGCTTCGCTATCATCCTAAACCCAACACACGCATTCTCCACTAAGTTAGACAAGTCTTAGGGTTTCCCTTCTCCTTACGGATAATGTACAAACTGAGAAGTGGCTGGTAAAACGGATGTAGAAGATGGCAAAGGAGAGGTGACAGTCCAGCAGATGGTGTGCCCGCTGCTGTGTTCCTTTACGAGTCTGTGACCTGCAGGAGCTCTTTTCGCAAGAATGGACATCAAACGCGATGGAAGTTAGGCTTACAGTACTGTGTGGTTACTCAGATTCAAGGACAAATGTGGAGAAACATGAACAGGTGAAAAACTCGGCCTCTGACGCTGCCCTTAAGATCCCGGCAAATCCATAAGCAGATTCTTTTGTACAGTTGAAAATGGCATTGTATTGATTTGTGGCGCGGAACTGAAACCTAGAAATACGTTTCCAATCTGCAGTAACCCTCACCCTCAAATCTCAAGTACCACTCCATGTTCTTTGCCTTTTTACAGAATTCTAGGGGGAGGGGGGAGGGCGGAAGGGAATGGGGGGAAAGCCACTGGCATTTTCACAATCCTCCCCCTGCAGGTCTCAACGCTTTCAGATGAGATCGCCCAGGAATCTCTGTATGACCGATCACCGGCTCTCCGATGGCCTTGGACAGCGACTTGGATGCTTCCCCAATCAAAACCCAACTGCTGCCTAATCTTTCCTACTCTCATCTCTGCCGTGGCTGGTAGCGTTTTTTCCCTCGAGGAGGAGTTATTTGGCTAAACATACACATAACTCTCGGCAGTGCTCGGAGTAAACCCCACCCCCACCCCCAACCCCAGGGCTAACGCACTTGCAAGGACCCAGGTCGACAGTCCGCTGAGCAGGGCAGAGACCACACACACACCGTGAGGGCGGGGCCGGGACCCAGCGGGAACCCTGACCTCAGGCCCCACGGCCTGCAGGCCGCCACAGGCACACGGCTGTGACCGCTTTTGACCTTGGTCTGCTATCCATGCCCCAGAGACGAAGATTCAGATGTGGCGACTGCTGGTTCATTAAACTTTTTGAACTGGTAAAAAAGACTCTTTAAAAAATATATATATATTTATTTAAAATACATCAAAACGACAAACAGCCAATATCCCACAAAAGGCCTAATTTCACAGCAAAGTAAGCCACCGACATCTGCCCCCCCCTCCCCACCCCCCACCCCCCTGCACTGCGGTGGGGGGCGGGCCTGACGCCTGCCACTCAAAGGAATGTTGGGCATGGGAGCTTGGGCGGCCGGACGTGCAAGCCCAGCCGGTGGGACCCCTCTGCCCGTCCGTCCAGACGCGGGAATACTGAAAACGGCAGAATTTGAAGGGGAACTCGGGAAGCACCGCGCGGGCGACCCTCCAGACCCCCCGACCGCAGTGCACGGGGCGCTGGCCAGGAGCCCCCTCCTCGGTCCGAGGGGGGAGCTCCCTTCGCAACGCACACGTGGCCACGCGAGGCAGGGCTCCTGCCCGGGGACGGGGCCAGCCTGCAGGACCGAGGGCCCGGGCGGTGACACTGTCAACGTGAGGTCTGAGGTAACTGGTTCTGACAGTACCTGGAGCGCAGGAGCTGCACCCCGAGATCACAGCTGGGACAAAGGAAAAAGGAGGGGGGCCTGGGCTAGAAAAGACAAGGAGGGAGAACGCTTACAGCAGTTGCTTTTAGGGGGAGGCAGGTGAGAAAACAAAGGCACAACAGAATCCCATTCCCACAGGCGGGCGGGCGGGCGGCGGGCAGGCGGGCAGGCGGGAGGGCGCAGCACGACCTTTCTCTGGACACGGAGCGAAACGATGGGGGTCCCCGGGTGCGGCCGGATCTGCTGGAACGAAGCGCATGCCGAGCACAGGACGGGGGCAGGACAACCGCCCTCTGCCCGGGCTGGGCAGCAGCTGATTTAAGACGGCGCAGGAGGGGAGGGGCACCCGACACAGCGGCCTGCAGCCCGCGGGCAGGCCCGGATACCGACCCTGGGCCGGCAGATACGGAGACAAAGAACCAGCTTCCTTCCTCACTCCCCCTACTTCCCCACCAGCGAGGCTCCCCCAAATCACCACCCACTTCCCACCCCCCAATAAAACGGCGGACATGAAGGCGCCTCATGTGACACCAGTGATGCTGACCCGGGGGAAGAGCAGGGCCCCAGGAGAGGTCAGAAAGACGCCTGCTGGTGCGAGCTGCGCTTCCCTATGGGCTCCCTGGACTAAAGGGCTGCGCCTGGCAGCTCGCCATTCCATCCGACCACCCGCTCCACCCTCCCCCTTTCCAAACGAATACTCAGCTGGCCATCTTGTCCTGCACACGGGGAATTTGGTCCTAGATCATCCAGTCTGGTGAATTCCTCCCATCACCAAATCTAGTCCCAGCCTGCCCCAGTCTGCACCCCCAAGCACCTCCTGCTCCCCCAAACACCCTCCCAGGACTGACGACCACTGAGTTTGAACCTCAGAACCCTTTGTTCAAAAGACATCTCGGGAGGAAGCGCAAATGTGAAACACCGCCAGGCTCCCCTCGCTCTGCCAGGCCCCTCCTCCCTCTGCCAAGGCGCCTGGCAGAGGCACCGCGGTCCCAGGCAGCCAGCCGCAGGGGCGTTCTGGCCCAACAGGACCCATCGCCGGACTCCAACCGGCCCGCTGTGTCATGAGAATCCAGCGGAGCGCCAGGCCACCCCCGCTCCAGTGTACATGCGTCCTGAAAGGTAAAGCTCATGACGGGGGTGCCTACATCACTCTTCTTCACACGCACGAGGCTTTATAAAAATAATCTGGTATAAAACAATCTCCACGCTGCGCAGAAGAGCCTGTCAGGGGATATAACTAAATACATATGTAGAGCTATAGATTTTTCTTCTTCTTCTTAAAGTAAAATTTCAAGTGTCGTATCTCTATTATAGAACCTACTCTTTTATTTACAGTGCTAGCTAACCACATTCCGATGCCAGCCGACAGCAGACATTCATTCACAGGACTCCAGACGGGGGGGGCCCCCCCCCGGCCCCCGCCCGCACAATGACCCGCCCGCGCCTGCCTGGACCGCACAGGCTCACGGGCCCTCTCCCACCCCCCGTGACGACGAGCCCACAATGTAAACTTTGGAGATGGGACGCTTTTCCACCCGTGTCCGGAAGAGCCCACATCTGTACAACGAACCGCGAACGCGCGCACAATCCGTGTGTCTGTTTCTTTAGTGTCCTGTGTCCTCACAAGCGCCAGGGCCGCTGCCAAACACTGGCATTTAGAAAACAGGCATTTCCATTCACAAGGAAAAACCACTAGCGTCACCTCTACGAGCTGCCGAAGGAGCAAACCGGGCGACGCTGGTTTTGGCACGACAGGGACCCAGGGCGCGCCGCGGTCAGGAGGCCAGCTTCGTGAGCGCCTGGAAGACACCCGCACGAAGCGTACAAGCTTGGTGAAAACGCAGACGGTGGTGAACCCTTCCCAAAACGAAGATCCCAGCAGACCCAAAACGAGCGTAAAAAATCAATATTCAGAACATCCCACTAGACCACCCGTACTTCCGTACGATGACTGTTGGTGAAAATGTGGCTGAGCCAACCGAAGTTCCAAGGGGACAGGGGGTGTTGTAAACTTCTGCTTCTTTTTCCTACAAAACTAAATCATTATCCTAAAAAACAAAACAAAACAAAACAAACAAAACAAAACCAGCCAAGCCTTCTAAGGGTTTGGGATACATTCATAGGTGAATTGCTGGTTACAAGTCAACGACCAAGGAACCTTACTAAAAAGAACTACGGGTGGGGGACCCTGAATTCATTCCACACGTACCAATCTAGACCGAGAGCACGGAAAACGTCAACGCAATTCCTGGGCCCGCTTCTTTACCAAAAACACCACAGCTCACCGGGACGGAAACCTGTCATCGCCGGCTGGACCCGTTAGCTGCTGAGTGTTGGACTGTATTAGCCGCTGACCAAGGAGAACTCCCATCGCCTCGATGAGGAGGAGCCCCCACGCCCTCTCCTCTCCTATCGCCGCCCAGGGTGAGGGTGAGGAGTCAGCTCCTCGCTGTGCTGCTTAGGAAGGTGGTGGGTGCCCCTGACATGCCAACCGTGCCTGGCTCTCTCCCCAAACAGAAGCCATGACGAACCCCATAGGAAACGGCTGAGACGGGCGATCCCACGGCGTTCGGTCGTGGAAAACGCTGTACAATCAGGTATTTCTCCAGGGAGTCAAGCTCTCGGGAACGACGCCTGCCTATGGTGGGCTTTGAGTACCAATGCTTAAGACTTACCTACTGACGCTTACTCTATGACTGAGAAACACCCACCCCTGGTATTCCCGATGGGTGCTGGGGATGCTACCTGGCATTCTAAAAAGAGCAGAATCCCATTTGCAAGAGTGCCAACCAGCCTTCCCGCCCTAGATGGCACAGCCCCTCGTGGCTCAGCACGCAAGGGCCATGCGACCGGCCTTCTGAGCCACACGCAGCACATGGTGGACATTCAATACGCAGCTGGGCACGTCGCCAAGGGAACAGCACACCCACAACCCGGCGCCCAGTGCAGGGTGGCAGGGAGCGGGAACGTGGCCAACTGGAGAGAAAGGTGACACGCTCACCCGCTTTGCTTCCCAGAGCAGGAGGACGTGACAAGCCAGGACAAGAGCTAGCCTGGCCCCCGGAGGCCACGAAAGAGCTATCGCAGTGGCCCGGAGGTGAGACCCTTCCCTCGGCGGAGAAGCGAATGTCACGTGAAATCCCTCCCGGAGATGCTCAAGGCTGGACACCCGGGCGCCACAACTGGACAGGAGGGATCGAGTCCGAGGCGGCTGGTGCCCAGGGGAAAGCCCTGCGCGGGCAGAGCTGAAGCCAGCACGCCCGCCAGCAAGGCCGTGCTGAGTCACAAAGGCCGGTGATGCTCTCACCTTCCCTCATGGCCAGGCCTCCCTTCCTCCTGAGAACGGTCCATCGACAGCCCTGGCCCTGAGTAACTTGCTCAGGGGACTCCTGATGGGGACCAGCGGCCTCAGGACAAAGCCTGGCTGGCGCCGGCTCAGGGTGTCTGCTGGCTGCGTTCACAGCCTTCCCCGCCCGCTGCCCTTGTTAAGGGCCCTCTCGGGACTCTGTGAAACGGTGCTCTGTGTCCCCTGCCGGACTTCTCTGGCTAACGGTGTCTTCCCATGTGACCGTGGGTGTCTGCAGGCAGAGCACATCCTTTCCCAAAGCCCATCCCACAGCCAGGCGCCTGGACACCAGCATGGAGGACGGGCGGGGAGGAGGCAGCCTGGAGCCTACAGAGCTGGTCAGACCCCCGGCCTCTCCCCTCTCCCCGGCCACACCCAACGAGACCATCTCCTGGCGCCTCCTCCTGGGGCCCAGGCCCGAGAGAGGTGCCCCTGCTGCCGAGCGCAGGGCCAGCGAGGAGGGAGCCCCCGGATGAAGGCACGTGGGCCGCCAGGAAGGCGTCCTGACCAGCAGGTCCCCACGGCCCGGCCCGAGCTTGTCCTCCCGCGAAGCCAGCCAGCACACGACGGGAAGAGCCCCCGAGGGGACTCGGAAGAGCACGCGAGGAGGGCCGGGTGCCCCCGACGGGAACGGGACCCAGCCATTCCGGTGGAGCCCGCCGCAGGAGCCCGCGGTTCCCTGGCTTCTGGGGGCGAGAAGCAGGGCTGCCCAGCGCTGCCTGAGGAGAACGCTATGGAAAGTAGATATGGCACTTCTCAATAAATAGTTTAAAGCTTCTTAAAGAAATCGGTGAAAAAGAAAAGCAACTGCTGTAAGACCTGTTTTGCTGTTTAAAAAAAAAAAAAATTACTCCAAGGGGAGAAAAATACCACAGCACGAAATAGTGTTGTTTGTTTTTTTAAAGTAAACAACAACATAGCTTCCCCAAACAACACAACAACAACAAGACCTGTCCCTGGAGCCATCTCAGCCCGCTCCCACCTCGGCCCACCCCACGGAGCAAACACGGAGCCCTGGGAGGGGAGCCACCCTGCACGGCGGGAAGAGGGCACACAGCGTGCCGGGCGGGCGAGTGAGCAGCGGGCCCCGGGGGCCGCCCCGAATCACAGCGGATTCGGAGGCGACCACGGATCTCTCCCGAGGTCACAGCTGCTCATGTCCTCAGGCCACCGTTTTACCCAGTTACAGTCCTTCTGAGCAGCCACCCATCGGCCGGAAGGACACCCCTGGACCTCCAAACCACCCCCGGAGGTGTCCCTCGCAGGCTCCCAGGTCAGCCTCTCCCCATCGCCCTCCTACTCCCCCCGCAAGAGGGAGAGATCGGTTTTAGGTAAAATTGTCCACAGAACCCAGAGGGAAAAGCCTTCACAAACACGTGTGACGGATGCCTGGATGGGCCCGCGCAGCCCGCCAGCACACGGGCGGGGACCGCTATTTACACGCGGCGTCAGCCAACAGACGCGGGCGGCAGCACTACCTACACGCCTCAAGCTTTTTCTTTTTCCTCCCTTTTTCTCTATTTCTTTTAAACTTCCTGGTCGTAAAAGCCAACTCACATTGAAATACACTCGTTACAAGACAACACAACTAATAAAATAGATAATAAAACGTAGTACACGAGTAGAAAGTTCTGAGGTATTTCTGGTTTGAGGTGGTCTGTGGTCGCGAAGTTTTCTTTTTCAAAATTTAAACCTCGGAAGCCACATAGCAAAGTGTGTGTGTGTGTGTGTGGATGTGTTTCATGTTTGCTTTTTAATTTTGCATGTTTCATAAATTAAAAAAAAAAAAAAAGTCAAATGTTGAAACAGCAGCATTAGGAACATCCACGGACTAGAGCAAGGTGACGGTGAGACAGAGGACGGTTTTAGGATATGCACCACTGGAAGGGCCTGGAGAGAGCACACCCGAGAGCCTCACAGCGGGAACAGGGGTGTTGCCACGCGGGCGGAGCCACCCGGACCCTCTTGCCTGGCTGCGGGGCGCCCCCTGCAGGCGCATCCCTGAATACTCCCCGAGGAGGCAAATACCCCGAGTTCCCCCCCCCTAAGGACACGGACAGCATCAGGTCTCAGAAAGAACCAAAGAACGTACTCACTCGGCTGTGACTCCCGCCCTAACCTAACGAGAACGCGGAGCAGAAGGAAGCGTTCAGTCTGAGGCCCACGCCCCAGGGCGGGAGAGGGGAGAGCCTGGCCAGGGCCTCCGGGCTTCCTCCAAACCCCGCTCCCGCCTCCGCCCCGGCCCTGCCCTCGGCTCCCGGTTACCTGAGAAGTAGCCTCACGGCGAAGGGTGCTCTCCCATGTGCCCGCGTCCACCGCGGCTGGGTCCAGACCGCCCCGCGCCCAGCCTCCTCCTCCCGGCTGGCCTCGGCCAGGAGACACCCGTGAATCCGTGAGAGACACGGCTGCTGTTTCTTAACCTCGCTGTCTAAACAGGGAGCAAAAACACCCTAAGAGGGACGGAGGGGAAGAGGAGGGAGAAAAAGAGGGACTCCTCTGGAGGAAGGTGTGTTCTGATGTAACAGTCTTCAAAGGTTCCTCTCCAAAGAGTTTGCAGCATTAAGTGTCCTAAGACTCCCGGGAGGGGGGCTTCTTCGTGTCCCGGGTTCGGAGACGGGAACCGAGAGGAGGCGGGAGAGAGACACGCACCGAGGACGGGAGGCGCCGGCCCGGCGCTCACCGCTCAGCGCCTCGGCGGCGATACAGTAGAGCCATGTGCTGGTAGAGCTGATCCGATCCCAAAAATAACATTAAAAATAATAATTATAATAATTATAATAATAATAAAAGGTCAAGGTAAAATAGCAGCTGCGTTGTGTGAGTTCGTTGGTGATGTGGGACTTCCAAAAGAAAACACTTCCTTTTTTTTCTCCTCCTCCTTTCCTCTTCAGATCCAGGGAGTCCCGAGAGCCACCCGCGTGTCCTGGGCTCAGATGCTCGACTCCTTAGGGGGCAGGTCCACGTTGGTGACGGAGGTCACCAGGGAGACCAGGCAGTCCGAGGTAGTGCCATTGACTGACCTCCGGATCAGGGACACCCGCTCCTCCACGCAGCCCGCGGACAGGCGGGCCTCGGCGTCGTGGTCCCAGCACTCCTCGATGGTCACGCAGAGCTGGGCCAGGCCCTGCACCCGGCGGGGGAGAGGAGATCCCCGTCAGTGCCCTCAGGGAGGACACGCCCGGGGGCAGCCAGCTTGGCAATGCTGCCCAAGGTCAGGCAGAGCCCACGGGCATCCCAACCCCAGAAGCTGCCCGCCAGCAGGAATCACTATCCTGAGCCCACTGGCCTCCCCGACAGGAAGGACCCCTGGCCGAAGCTGGTTTGGCTCAGTGGTAGCGCGTCCGTCTGCGGACTGAAAGGTCCCGGGTTCGATTCCGGTCAAGGGCATGTACGTTGGTTGCGGGCACATCCCCGGTAGGGGGTGTGCAAGAGGCAGCTGGTCAATGTTTCTCTCTCATCGACGTTACTAGCTCTCTCTCCCTCTCCCTTCCTCTCTGTAAAAAAAAAAAATAGAAATTAAAAAAAAAGGAAGGTCCCCTGAACCTCTGTGTAGGGAGGGGAGGAACCAATACCCTCCTGGGGCAGATACAGTGATGTTCAAACAAAATCTCACGGGAAGCCCAAGGGCCCAAAAAGCGGTGGTCACAGCGGAGACCAGAGGGCACTGTCCCGCCCCACGCCCCGCAGCCCCTGGGGCCACTCCCCAGAGTCCAAGGACGTGGTGGTGTGACACCCTAAGCGGGACCCAACTGGGCGGAGCTGGGAAGGGCACACCGTGGACAGAAGGCCCACATCCGGGAGCTCGCTGGCCCACTTGGCCACTCTGAGACCTGCTGGACCTTGGACTCCTCGCCAAGGGGCGGGACAGGCTACCCCAGCACCTCTGCCTTGGGAGACGGAGAAAGTCTAAGGCAGCCGAAACTGGTTTGGCTCAGTGGTAGAGCGTCGGTCTGCGGACTGGGGGGTCCCAGGTTCGATTCCGGTCAAGGGCATGTACTGTGGTTACGGGCACATCCCCGGAGGGGGGGGGACCCCGCAAGAGGCAGCTGGTCGATGTTTCTCTCTCATCGACGTTTCTAGCACTCTATCGCTCTCTCCTCCTCTCTTAAAAAAAATCAATAAAATATATTTAAAAAAAGAAAAAAAAGAAAGTCTGAGGCAAAGGCCGGATCCAGGCGCCCGCTGCCACCTTCCCCCTGTGCAGCCCTGGGTTCCAGGGAGCAGCTTGACCCCCAATGGTGCATGTGGTGGAGTGCAGCCCCCAGGGACCCCAAGCCTGTCCTTTCTCTGAACTGACCCTGGAGTGGGCGGGGGGTGGGGCTCAATGGAGCTGATGGCAAATCTCCAGCCCAGAGAGGGGATGGTTTGCACAGCTGGAGTCTCTGTGCCCAGTGGAGGAGCCCAGACCCAGAAAATGAAGATGGCGGGACACGGAACATTTCTCCAGAGCGAATCCCTGTTAAATGCTTACGCAATGCAGGTGTCCTGCCAAGAGAGTTCTGATGGCAGCTCATTAAACCGATTCCTACCCCGAGGAGACAGAGGCTCCGAAAAACAGAGCGACCGGCCCGAAGTCACCCAGCCACTCGTGGGCCAATCCCAGCTGGTCAGGCTCAAGGCCAGCAGGCTCGACTGCACGGCGACCCACGCCGGGGCACCCTGGGCTCCGCCCGAGCGAGCCAGAGCCGCGAGCCAGAGCCGCCTCCCTGCAGAGCACTGCCTTCCCCAACGCTCCCCTGGAGGGAGGGGAAAGGCCCTAAGTGGCCCCTGACCTGGCGGGTGAAGGGGGACTGTCCCACGGCCTGAGGCTCCCTCTCCCTCTGCCCCATGCCCCCCGGGTCTCAGGTCCCCGCCGCCCAGGCCCTCACCGGATGCTTCAGCCAGTGATCCTTGATGGCCGGCCGCATCTTCTTGTGCACGACCACCTCCTGCAGCTCCTCCAGCGAGGGGTGCTGGCCGATCTCCTCCTCAAAGGGCAGCATGTACTCGTCCACTGGTCCTGGGGGGGGCGAGAATGCGCCGGGCGGGTCACCCCAGCTCTGCTGCTCCCCTCCCTCCCTCCCCATCGAGGCTGGGGCCCCGCTGCCCCCCCCCCGCCCCCCACCCCGGAAGCCGGGCCGGCGTGCTCACCATCGGCAGCCTTGCAGCGGGACACGAGCTCCCACAGCACCAGCCCCATGGCGTACATGTCGATGCGCAGGAAGGCGTCCCTCTGGAAGTTGATGGCCCCCTCGAGCACCTCCGGGGCCATGTACCGCCGTGTGCCCACCTGCAGGGACGGGGAGGGTCAGCGGTCAGCGGCCACATGCAGTGCTCTCACGCCCGCACAGCGAGCTGCATCCCCCGTGCACCGGACGGGCCGGGCCGGCGGGATTCAAAGCAGGACGCCGACAAGGACGGCGAGGCAGGACGCGCCGCATTCCCGAAGAGGGTCCCGAGAGGTCCCGGTGCAGACTGGACCTCGGTGGCCCCTTAACGTGTCACACACTCAGACAGCAGTGAGCCAACCTGGGACTGCCGCCGCCACCCCATCACCGCCACGCGGATGTGTGTGTGTGTGTCACTGAGATCAACACCAGAACTAAAGCGGGAGGACGATACTTAAGAATATCATCGGCAAGGGGCCAAAACCAGTTTGGCTCAGTGGATAGAGCGTCGGCCTTCGGACTGTAAGGTCTCAGGATCGATTCCGGTCAAGGGCATGTACCTTGGTTGCAGGCACAGCCCCAGTAGGGGGTGTGCAAGAGGCAGCTGATTGATATTTCTCTCATCGATATTTCTAACTCTCCATCCCTCTCTCTTCCTCTCTAGAAGAAATAAATAAAATATATTTTAAAAAAAAGAAAAAAAAAGAATATCAGCAGGGCCAAAACTGGTTTGGCTCAGTGGATAGAGCGTGGGCCTGCGGACTGAAGGGTCCCGGGTTCGATTCGGTCAAGGGCATGTGCCCTCGTTGCGGGCACATCCCCAGTGGGGGATGTGCAGGGAGCAGCTGATCGATGTTTCTCTCTCATTGATGTTTCCAGCTCTCTGTCCCTCTCCTTTCCTCTCTGAAAAAAAAAAAAAAAAAAAATTAATAAAAAAGAATATCAGCAGGGACTGTTTTAGGATGGTCTGTTTCATTTCTTAGTTATTTGTTCTAGGCTGTTGGGTTGGGGTTTTAGTGTATTTCTTTCTGTATTATTTTGCTTCATCGTTATAACTAAAAAGAAAGAGAGAGAAACGGAGGCGACAAGGACACGCGGCCAAAACCCCAACCGGGAAGCCTCGGTCGGCACATCTCAGCTGCCAGGCCGGCTGCCTCGGCGCCTGCCCGGCCACGCTCTCCCCGGCGGTGGATGACGGCACGTTCTCTGAGGTCTTGGGAAGCTCTGAGCTCACGCAGCGGCCCTGGCTCCCGCACCTGCCAGCTGGGCGTCACACGGGCAGTACCACCCCCTGGCACACCCCGAGCCGGTTACCTGCCCGTGGGTGTCCCCGGGCGGTTTCCCCGGCTCAAACCGAACGGCCAGGCCGAAGTCCGCCAGCACGGCCGTGAGGTCGCTCTTCAGCAGGACGTTCTTGCTCTTGAAGTCCCTGTGGAGACAGGTGGGCTGCGATGAAGACGAGCGGCACGGCCCAGCCTACCTGCTCCTGGGCTCCCATCCTGGCTCTCAGGACACTGGAGCCCGCGCCCTGCCCTGCAGCTGCCAGAGACCCCAGAGCAGAGTCTGCACCGGGGCGGAGGCCCATGAGGCCCATGAGACCACCACCCCCCCCTACGCTGGCAGGAGCACCCCAAACCTCACTTCCCCCAGAGCCGTCAGAGCGACACCTGCCCTGAGTGGCCGGGCAGACTCCATCCCAGTGCCCACAGTGTCGGGAGTCAGCCCCTGCATTCGCAGAGGGGTTGAGGGCAGGCACGCGGACCCGGGACCCGTGCTTTCTGAGAAGGGTCTGGAGTATGTAGGACGTGAGTGAGCACAGACGCTGAGCTTTCCTGGGCTGCCGTCCAGGGCCCCAAGGGGCCCACGCCCACCCCGAGGCAGGCGCAGAGCGGGTGCCGGGTGCCGGCGTGCGTGCTCAGCCCACCTGCCAGAGCAGTTACTTGTGGTCCTCAGGCTCCCCCCTGCCTGTCTCGGCCTGGGTGTGAGGGCCACACCGAGGGGTTGTAAGCACACATGCTCGGGGCCACCCCTGGCGCACTTACTAGGCACTACTGTTAGGTTGAACCGTATGGAAGAGTCGACAGTCAACCGTTTTTGACCTACAAAAATGGCAATTTCATACAGTCAACCTTTTGTGACGTCACTGTTAGTCCCATCAGGGGCCCTTCAGCTTTGAACCCTGAATTCGAGGCTCACTCCCCTCCCTGGCAGCCTAAGCTACTCGGCGCTCTGTGCTGCTGCTCAGCCGGGCTGAGGAAGCCACCGCAAGGCGACATGGCGGCTAAAACGGGCAGGTACTTCTGTGTGTGCGCAACACTGGCTGCCAGGCACCCCACTGAGACAAGGAGCCGACACCACGGCTCCCAGAGAGTCCCTGAGACGGTTTCGGGGAATTTGCAAGGACAAAACTATGCTCATGGTCACCTTACGCTCATTCCCTCAGAAGCAGTTTCCCAGGGGCTACCTCCGTGTGACGTCATCGCTGACAGCTGGAGGGATGTGTGTGCTTTAACGCAGCAAGTATCAGCAGACATAAGCCACATACACAAAAGGCTTTTTAACAGGAGAGAGACTGCAACCAAAAACTGGCCACTCCTGAGCCAACTCTCCCAAGTAGTGGAGCCTGCAGTTCCTCATGTGGCCACTGGAGGGCGCCAGGAAACCGGCCTGGAGGCCAGGCCAACCGGGGTGGCCGGCCGGTGGCAGCGGCAGCAGGTGGGCCCTGGTGGTTGTGCCCACTCTCTCTGACACACAACAGTGGCCAGGCGTGCTTGTGAAGTTGAGGACCCCTCCACCCCCCTGCCAGGCCCTGCTCTCGCCCTCCAACCTTCTCTGCAGCTCCAGGCCGAGCCCAGGGAGGCCAGCCGCTCCCCCAGGTACCTGTGGGCGATGGACGGCTTGTGGCCCTCACCACGGCACCAGGGCACGTCCTCGTGCAGGTACGACAGGCCTCTGGACATGGTCTCTGCCACGTGACACAGCTCGTTCCACGTGATGATGTTCCCCTTGAGGTAATCCGTGAGGGAGCCCTGGAGGAGGCGGCATCGAGTGTGGGGACAGGGCAGGACCAGCCCAGCCTGGAGGCTGTCTCAGGGGCTGACGGCTGCGGTCCCCTCCTGGGAGGCTGGCGCTGATACAGAAGATCGATGAGGCCAGCAGAGGTGGGGTGGAGGGCAGAGGGGGTGGGGGGGGAGAGGGGGCACTCGGAGGTGTTCATTATGAAGCCACTACTCTGATCGGTAAGAATGTCCCCAGAGCCGAAAACCGGTTTGGCTCAGTGGATAGAGTAGGGGTGTCGAGCTCAATCAGAGAAGGGGCCAAAATCTAAAATCCAGCCTAAATCGCGGGCCGAATGGTTTACTGAACAGTCATAAACTGTCATTGTGATGGGAACGCAGCGGAGTGCAGTGATGACAGCGCGGTGCGGGCCACATTGCAAGGCCTGGCGGGACGGATTTGGCCCGCGGGCCTTGTGTTTGACACATGTGGGATAGAGCATCAGCCTGCGGACTGAAGGGTCCCAGGTTCGATCCGGTCAAGGGCATGTTCCTTGGTTGCGGGCACATCCCCAGTGGGGGGTGTGCAAGAGGCAGCTGATGGATGTTTCTCTCTCATCGACGTTTCTAACTCTCTATCCCTCTCCTTTCCTCTCTGTAACAAATCAATAAAACATATTAAAAAAAAAAAAAAAAAAAAAAAAGAATGTCCCCAGAGTTAGGGGTTCTTTAAGGCCCTCGCGGCCACGCCGGTGGCAGGCCCCTCCCCGTGGAAGGCGGCGGGGGCCGTGCCGGCTCCCCCTCCGCGGGCCGCGGCTCACCTTGTCGTGGAAGGCCGTGATGAGCCACAGCTCCACCTCCAGGTTGGAGCCGCGCTTCTCGGCGGCGATGAACTGCAGCAGGTTCTCGTGCTTCATGCCGGGCGTGCTGAAGATCTCCCGCTCGCTCTGCCACGACTGCTTGTCCTGCAGTGGGCACACGGCTGAGCCCCCTGCAGCCGCCCCCCAACCCCTCCCTCCCCCCCCCCCCCCCCCCCGTGACAGCACCGCGGCCCTCACCCCGCTCCCCATGCCCCAGCCTCAGCACCTGGAAGGCAGGCGGGCAGAGGCCGGGAGCCGAGGCCAGCGTGGCCCCTGAGGTCACTAAGCTCAGCACCTGACTTACAAACGGGCGCGCTGAGGTCAAGAGAGGGAGCGAGTGGCCCGGGATCACCCCCCCCCCCCCACACACACACACACACACACACGGGAGGCACTAGCCGGGCCTGGCTTTGCTAAGGGTCTCGGGAAACTGCTCGGGGCAGCCTGGTGTCCAGACTCTCTAAGCAGAACCTGATGTCATATCAAAGCCCTGCCCTCGTCGGTGTGGCTCAGTGGATAGAGCGTCGGCCTGCGGACTCAAGGGTCCCAGGTTCGATTCCGGTCAAGGGCATGTGCCTTGGTTGCGGGAACATCCCCAGTGGTGGTGGTGGGGGGGGGGGGTGTGTGTGTGTGCGGGAGGCAGATGATCGATGTTTCTCTCTCATGGGTGTTTCTAACTCTCTGTCCCTCACCGTTCCTCTCTGTAAAAAAAAAAAAAAAATCAATAAAATATATTTCAAAAAGAAAACACACACACACACACACAACAAAGCCCTGCAAACCAGAGTGGGTCTGCAGAACCCTACCTAGCCGCACAAGGAATGTCACCACCCCTCGGGGGGGGGGGGGGGGGCGGCTACGTCCCTCTCACCCCTACACGGGGCCTGCCCTGCCGGGGCCGGGACAGCTCCGGCCTCGGCACGGCCGGATGCTCACCTGGAGGGGGAAGATCTTGACCGCCACAAAGTCGTTCATGAGCTGCGCCTTCCACACACAGCCGAAGCGCCCCCGGGCCTTGATCTCCAGCAGCTGCAGCGGCTTGAGGCCCACCAGAGGGGATGGAGGGGGAGGCCCAGGGTCCTGTGGGGAGATCGGGGCCGTAAAGAGTCTGTCCTGGCCTCGCCACCTCTGCCCTGCCCTGCCCTGCCCTGCCCGGAGCCCGCGCCTCACCTCGTGGATGTCCACGTGGCCGTAGGGGGCCTTGCGATGCCGGTACATCCAGAAGGCCAGCAGGACGATGAGGGAGAGGCCCCCGATGGGCAGCAGCGAGTAGGCCAGCACCGTGAGCAGGGCGGGGGCTGTCGGGGGTGGCTCGTACGTGACTGGGGGACACACGGAGCCCTGGGTCACACAGCCCGCCCACCCCCCGCCTCTAGGGCCAGAGGGGCCTGCGGCCACTCCCCAGCGGCTCCTCCGGAGCGGAGCGCTCCTCCCGGGCCAGGGGGCCGCCCTCACCTTCCGGGCCGCCCGCCTCCGGCAGGTGGGTGAAGCGCTCGTTGCAGAAGTTGCCTTCGCAGCAGCAGAAGTACACCTGCGGGTTCTCCTCGGTGGCCACACACTCCTGCCTGGGGGCACAGTTTCCCCGCACACCCCTCAGCGGAGGCCCGGTCAAGCCCCTCCCCACAGGCAGCCTCACTCACGGGAACCACCACCAGGGACAGCGTGAACCCGCCTCCCTGGCAGGGAGGGACAGCACGGTGGATGCTCGCTGAGCTCCTCGGGACCAGGGTCAGGACCCCAACCCCGCAGCACCCCCGCGTGTCCCAGCTCCCCCGAGCCCTCGTCCTTCCCCTCGGGTCCTAAATGCCAGGCTCGGCCTCACAGGCAGCCTGAGACCCGTGGGGGCAGCAGGCAGGGGGCCGTGGGCAGGGTGACGGCGGAGCTGAGGGGTGGCCAGAGGAGGGCGCTCCGGGTACCTGTCGTAGCAGTTGAAGTCGTCCAGCCAGCAGCCCTTCTTGACGAGCTCGATGGTGCCCGAGCTGTTGCGCCAGGAGGCGTAGCAGTGCAGCCGCTTGTCCTGCTCGCCCTCGCAGCGCTCCCGGCCGCTCTGGTTGGTGCGCTCCAGCTCCCAGTTGGCGTTGTAGTACACGCACTCCCGTGTCTCCGCCTCGCTGCGCCCGGAGCCTGCGGGCACCCCGGGGGAGAGACCTGCTGAGCACCCCACTCTGCTGCTCCCTAGACCTGGACCCGGGCCACCCCGAGGGAGGCCGGGGGGCGGGTGCCAGGCCCCACGCCACCCACCCCTTCGACACCAATTAGTGTAACGTGCCAGCCAGCACCCGCCTCCACCTCACTGCCCCCTGCTACTGCCCCCTGGCCAATCAAGAGGGAGGCGGCCACACCCCTGGCACCACAGACTGGAGAGGCAGATACCCAGACTGACGGCCGGATGCCTCAAAGGGGGCTCCCCCAACATCGGAGGCCCCTGGTGGGGGCCGTTTCCCTAGAGCAGCCATTACTAGAGGGGCCCTCAAAGCCCCGTGCACCTCCGAAGCACTGCCTGTGCAGGTGGCTGTTGTCTAGACTCTAGAGTAGGGGTGTCGAACTCAATCAGAGAAGGGGCCAAAATCTAAAATCCAGCCTAAATCGCGGGCCAAATGGTTTACTGAACAGTCATAAACTGTCATTGTGATGGAAACGCAGCGGAGTGCAGTGATGACAGCGCGGTGCGGGCCACATTGCAAGGCCTGGCGGGACGGATTTGGCCCGCGGGCCTTGTGTTTGACACATGTGCTCTAGAGGGATATTTCAGACATCCGAAAAGAGTAAAAATGACGTAACCAAAGATCACCCCCAGGAGGAAATCACATAATGAAGGCTCATACGAAAAATAAAATATTCCGAATGTGCTCGACAACTGCTTTTTCAATGTCAGGCTTCCCCCGTGAGGCTGCCAAGCTGATGTAGGCAGAAGCCGTGGCTGTCTTGAGTGCTGGGACCGGTACTGGACACGACGGACGGACGGATGGATAGAAGGACCAAGGGACGGACAGAAAGACACGCCGGCAGTTAGCTCCTGGCGAGGGCAGGATTTCAAAGGGAGGGGACGCCAGCAGGGGTGGCCCGCTGCCCAAACGCCGAGTCCCCTGGGGAGTTTCCGTGTCCTCTCTGACCAGCAGCAGGGCCCCGTGCAAGGCCAGGAGCCAGAACAAGGCGGGCCCCAGACTCCGAGCGTGGCCCAGCCCCTCTCCCAGGCCCCCGGAGCGGGCAGGGACCCCCGCTGGCAGGACCCAAGCGCACAGGGCTGGGAACTCCAAATCTCAAGCTCCAGCGGGGGACACACGGATCTGGGATGTCACCGAACGCCCTCTGACCACACACACCCTCCTACATGCGGCCAAGACACGAGCTGCCGCCTTGGGTCAAACCCTGGCTGTGATGCTCTGAGCTGTGCGACCCAGGCCGAGGGACCAAACCCCACCAGCGCCTGCTCGTGACGCGGGCGTGCTCACAGCAGACGCTTCGAGCGCGGCTCCAGGAGTGAGCTGAGGCGGTGCGCTTTCAGAGTGGCCAGGAGAGTGCCCGGCACTGGCGTGCCCGCTGGCATGTTAGAGCCACGCCCCGCCCCTGCTGCCCAGGACAACCCTCCACAGCACAAGCCCCCGGAGGCCCCGGCCCACCACGCGGAAGGGTGCGCAGCCACGCCCGCAAGAGCCTGGTATTCCCAGCCTACGGGGGGGGGGGGGGCGATGGCAGACCCCGGGCCCCTCCCACACCGCACCCAGGCCCCCCTGCCAGCTGGAGACCCGGGGGGGCCGCCCCCTGCCTCCCTCCTCCCTGGCAAGCTCTGCTTCGGCACACACTCGGCTATTTATAGCCCCTGGCAACGCTCCAACCGCAGGGCGGCCGCTGCCTTTTAATAGGCACAGGGCTCCTGCTCACACTCCCGGAGCCGGGCACCCGGGCACAGGAGGCTCCCCCTCACCCCCGGCTCAAACCCCCCCCCCCCATCCTGCAGGAGAGGAGGCCGTGCTCTCGGGACAGGGGTGCCTGGGGTGCCCCCTCCTACGTGCTGGAGGCGAGCAAGGGGCTCGCTGTACCCCTGAGCTACAGCCAACCCAGCAGCCGGCCTCCAAAGGAACCAGGTACACAAGCGGCATGATCCCCAGCAGGTCGCCCCTGGGTTCCCGGGGCCTACATGAGCCCCCACGCTCGCCACGCCCTCGTCCAGGCAGGCGGGCGGGGACACGCCACTCCCGGACACACGCCCCCCAAAGATAAGAGCAACCAACCAACCAACCAACCAACCAACCGGAATGCACGCAGATTCCGCCCAAACAGACCTCAGGGGAGCAAGACCTCAGTGGGCCAGGGCTGACGGGCGAGGAAAAGTGCCGGGGGGGGGGGGGGGGGGGGGTGAGTCCCCAGCCCCGGAGGCCTTGGCTGCGCCCTGCTGTGCCCAGGGGAGGCACGGGAGAAATCCGACCAGCACCCGCTGTGCAGGGCTCAGGGCTCAGGGCTCACGGGGGACGGGGAAGAGTGAGGACGGCTGGAGAAGGGCGGGGCGATCCAGCCTTGCCGGGAAGGGGTGAAGCTGAAGCGGCCATGTGCCCGGCCCCTGGAGTTCTATGAGCTCCAGGCGTGAGGTGTGTCCGCCCAGCCGACACCTCCCCGAGGGAGGAACCGTGGACCCCAGCAGCCCATGGGCCGCTGCACTCTACCCCTGGCTCCTGGAGGCCGCCCGGAGAGCAGGGTTCCAGCCCCAGCCACGCAAGTGAGAAAGGGACGGACCCAGCACCGCACCCACCGGCCAAGGGGCCCCCTCCCTGAAGCCACCAGGCCTGAGAGGCGGCCGCGCAAGGACTCAGGCGGCCCGTGTTCTCCTCGCTGTCCAGCTCCGGGTCTGGACAGGCAGGGGAACTCCGACAGACAGCAGCCAGGCTGCCTTCCGGGGGGCTCCTGCCTGAGGCTCCCTGCCCTGGCCCATCGGAAGGCAGCCCTGCCGTGTGCTGGTGCCCGGAGGGGCCACCCAGTGCCTGTGTTCACGACTCCACTGCTTCAGTCCACCACAGCGGCATCGTCACCATCTCCCCCACGACCCAAGGAGAGTTGTGCGTGGCGACTCCAATCTGGAGCTCATCCAGGTCCGCTTCAACGGCAGAGTGCCTGCTGGCTATTTATTTAGCCTGGTGCACGACACTTGTGCACTGAGGTGCGTGGGTAGCCCCCCTCAGCCAGGCCTGCACCCTCTCGCTCCTTACCGCCCACCTGCAGTAGACGCAGGAGAGGCTCCCACCACCTCCGCTGCACTCGCCAGCTGAGAGCACGGCTTCTGGCCGAGGGGCACTCCCCCTGTGGGAGCGCAGTGACCGCCAGGGAGCAGCTCCTGCTTTGGGCATCTGCCCCCTGGCGGTCCGTGCATGTCATAGCAACCGGTCGTTCCCCAGTTTGGCCGATTTGCATATTAGGGTTTTATTATATAGGATGACCAGCTAGTCATTATATGTGCAAAAATTGTTTGTAGAAATGATCTGAAGCCTAGAATGACGTTCTATTCCTTCAACGATGCTCTATGTGCTTCTGGAAAGCAGCTAAGGGCACCATTAGTTCTGCAACATCCTAATCTAACTTCAGAGTTTGTCTTCTCTCGGCTCCTCCCCCTCACCTCTTTGTGGTATCAACCCAGAAGAAGGCACAGTGAGCACTCACCCACTCTCTGTTGATAACTCTAGTTCCTGTCTTCTTAGCAAGGCTATCGAATGCAATTCTCAGTTGCCCAGAGGAAGGGCTGCACACAGACTCCAATGTCAAAGACACCACCCGGGGCCTCTCTTCCCACAGGCCCTGGCCTCCTAGGTCTTCGCCAGAGTCTTAGCTCTACAATGCTTTCAACCGGAGACGCCTCCTGAACCTGTCTAGCTTGTCCGGCTGCCTTCAGAAAGAGCTGTTTCTGCCTGTCAGAGAGGGAGTCTCCATGTTTACCTTTACCCGGCTTTCAGACATATCCTCAGGGTCGCACGACACCCAAAGAGATATAGCTACACAGACATGGACGCTGAGGTCACCTGCACAGATAAGACTGCCTGTGGAAAGCGTTGAGAGCACAGATTCCAGGGCTGAGTCATGAAAAAGGCAGTTCCCATTCCAAACTGTAACTCAAGGGGAAAACAGAATTCACTTCCAACCAAGTTTACTATTTCATACTGATGGGCTCACCCGCGCCCCTCAAAACTCACGGGCTATGCCGAAACCGGTGTGGCTCAGTGGTAGAGCGTCAGTCTGCGGACTGAAGGGTCCCGGGTTCGATTCCGGTCAAGGGCATGTACCTTGGTTGTGGGCACATCCCCAGTGGGGGGCGTGCAGGAGGCAGCCGATGGATGATTCTCTCTCATTGATGTTTCTAACTCTCTATCCCTCTCTCTTCCTCTCTGTAAAAAAATCAATAAAATATATTTAAAAAAAAAAAAAAAAAAAACTCACGGGCTAAATCCCTAACCTCCCATGTAACATATTGGGAGATAGGCCTTTAAAGGAATCAATTAAGCCAAACAAAGTCACAAGCCTGGGGCTGTCAAACAGCAGAACCGGTGCCCTTACAAGCGGGAGGGGCACCAGGAGTGTGTGAGGACAGAGAAAAGGCCACGTGAGAACACAACCACCACAAGTCAGAGAGACCTGCACGCCAAGGAGAGAGGCCTCATCGGAAACCAACCCTGCCAGCACCTCGGTTTGGGGCGTCCAGCCTCCAGGACTGTGAGGAGATAAATCTGTTATGTGAGCCACCCAGCCTGGGGTATTCCCTAGCTGCCCGACACACAGGCAGTGCACGCCACCTGGACGGCGTGGGAAAGCTGCCCGCCACGGCACCTGGACTAGAGACAGGACCTCAAATCCAGTGTCACCTAAATCCACAGGCGGGGCCTGACAAGCGGGCTCACACAAGGAATCCCAGGAAAACCAGTGGAGAAGCAGACACCAGGCTGAAGAGGGAGACCAGAAACGCCAAGGGCTCTGAGGAGCAAGACGTCTCGAATCATATTCCCTACGGCTCCCGTCAAACGGTGGCAGCAGGTTGTGCGGGGGAACAAGGCATACGCCCTCGGCCCGGAAATGAGGCTCGCCAGAGCCTCTTCTTTTATGAGCAGCTCCTCACAAGACTCAAGTAACTCTTTTTTCTTTTCTTT